CCATATAGCAAGGCCAGGAGAGGGTCCCCTGCATAATCTAGGGTGAAGAGAGCCAGGAGAAGCTTGCAGGCTCCCTCTACCTTGCTTCCTTAGAGTAGTTCAGAAATGTAGCCCTTACAATTCTGCTCCAGAGGCTGCACCCAAGTCCCCAACCAGGGAAGGAGGTAGAGGAAAGACTCAGGGACACTCCCAGGCAATAAGTCCTTCTTTAATCCTACCTTCTTCTTTCCTCTTACACCACTAGCTCGGTTGCCTCTGGCCTTGCCACCTTAATTTGTAATCATCTCTTTTCCTGCTACCATGTGCCCCAGAGCAGGGGGAGAAGAGAACAAGTGGGCAAACCCTGAGGACCCCAAGGCCAAGGGGCTGACAGCAGCCGCAGTGAGGAATGAGGAATTGTACTGGGGTTTGTGTGAGTGTGTGTGTGTGTGTGTGTGTGTGTGTGTGTGTGTGTGTGTGTGTGGTGATAAGGCTCTGCTCAGAATCCACTTCTGCTTTCAGCACATGCCTACCCTCCTTACCCCGCCCCAGAAGGAAATGCTCATCTACCACCCGGACCCAGACCTGAAAGGGAACTAAACTTGGCCTCTGAAACCCTCCGCCTGGGGCTGGCACCAGCACACTTCCTTCCTTCTTCTTAGAAATACTATGAAATCTAGAAATGAGCCAAACTGCTCCAGGTGGGGTGGAAAGCCCTTATTTTACCAATGTGAATCAGAAAGAACAAGAACCCTGCCCAGGATCACACAGCAAGGACCCAGGGCTTCTGCTCCCTGGCCCCACAGAGCCTTTTTAATGGTCCTCCCCCAAGCGGAGAGCGGCCAACCTAGAAGGGCTATTTCAACTCTCATGTTAACAGTGAGGAAGCTGAGGTCCAGCAGGGATAGGAAGGCAAGTAGAGTTGGTCAGGATTGGGGCTGGGAGAGGACAAAGCTTCCAGATGCAAAGTTTCCAGCCAGAGCCCTGCTCTTTCATAGGTGGGAAGAAAGCCAGCTCAGACTTGTGTCTGTTTCATCCCTATCTGGTCTAGACCTTTGGAAAGTCCCTTCTGCAGTCTGCCCTCATCCTTCCTCTTCTAGCACTTCTCCTCCTAACAGGTCTCACAGGGTTAGCCAAAGAAGGCTTCTGGGACAGTGGCTTGGAAAGAAATAGCAGAATCTGAATTTGGCAGTGGACCCCTTCCCAGGGGAGTCAGGATAGTAGGAACAGAGAAGCCTTCTTAGCCTTCTCAACCGAGACCCTGCCTCTCAGCTTATTTGCACAGATATTTGCATGTTCACCTGCCTCCTTGGAAAACTCAGTTTGCATGGGGTCAGGCTGGCTGGCAGCCAGGTAGGACCCCTTCCCCCCTGACACAGATGCAGTTCCCCCGGAAGAGGGAAACCCAGAGACACTGACCATAAAAGAGAATTTGGCCCCACATGACCCCTGAACCCAGCTGGCAGACATCTGCAAGGGGATGCCTGCCTGGCAGGGGGAGAGGGAGCTGAGCAAGGACTCCCCCCAGGGGCTAGTGTTCCCCTTCCACCTCCCCCACACATGTGGATTCAGGAGCGGCAGAAGGTGGGGCTGGGGGGACACGGGTAGGAGGAGAAAGAATATGGGGAGATTCTAGTCCCTCCCACTTAGAGATGCGGTCGCCATGGTGACTGAGGACCAGTGAGGCGGGATGGGGTTGAGGATGGGGGGCGGGGGTGTGGCAGGGACGGAGGCACTGGGAGACAGGAACTGCCTGGCATTCCAAGGGGAGGGAAGCACGGTGCATCCCCAAACTCCAGGTAAGGGAGCAGGAGAACTGAAGGGAGGGGGCGGGCCATTGTCTGGTGCTGGCTCTGCCCTGAGGAGGGGGCAGACAGCTGGGGTCGGACCATTGTGTGCGGCACTCAGCTCAGCCTTCCAGCACAGTCAGATTGGAGGAAGAAGCCTAGGAGGCCTTGGGTAAAGGGTTAGGGGGGATTGGGCTGGGTGGGTGGCAAGGAGGCTGAGAGATAGTGTGGGTGGGAAGAGGTGTGGGGATGCTGGGGGAGTAGAAGCTAGGGACATCCCTAGTGCCTTACAGTAGGCACCTAAATATAAGTTGATTTGACTTGCTTGTGATCATAAAAAAGAAGGCAACAAGGGGCAGGGAATATGGAGCTGAGGAAGGGACCCAGGAAGCTGATGTTCCTGAGGACTGTGCTCTCAGGGGCTGCCCCTGAGGCTGGAAGGGAGATGGAGAAGGGGCCACTGGACCTGCTGGGTCCTTGGCAAAGCCTTTCTCCCACCCCTGGAGCCCCTCTCAGTGAAGTATCCATGTGCTCTGGGGCACCACAGAGACAAAGTGCCCCAGAGTTCTCTGGGTGAGCACAGGGTAGGGTGCAGGGTGGATGAGCATGGGGTAGGGGTGCAGGGGGTGAGCACAGAGTACGGGTGTGGGGAGGTGAGCATGGGGTAGGGGTATGGGGGTGGTGAGCATGGGGTAGGGGTACAGGAGGTGAGCAGAGGTTAGAGGTGTGGGGGGTGAGCATGGGACAGGGGTGCGGGGGGGGTGAGCACAGCGTAGGGGTGCAGGGGGGTGAGCATGGGGTAAGGGAGTAGGGTGTGAGACAGGAGAAGATGGAGAACGACATCTCCATCTCCCTTCCCACCTCCACCCCCCACAACTAGATCTTTACCCTGGGCCAGAAAGCCTGACAGGAAAGGGCTACTATCTGCTGTGATCTAGGGGCCCTCGGGGAGCAGTCTCCAGGGGAGGGGGATCCTGGGGTGGAGGACAGTATTGTTGTTATTAGGGGGGTCTCCAGGCTGGAGAGAGAGGAGTTGGGAGCCCCCACAGTGGGGCTGTGAAATGTCGTAGCCCCTAAGGCCTTGTCCATGAACATCTGACCCCTTCTCACCACCCGCAACATCCCCCCCAACTGCTGCACGACTCCAGCTCTCACTGAGACACTTCCCCTGCAGGGCCTCAGTTTCTTCATTTGGACAGTGAAGGAGGAGGTGGGGCTCTTTCAGCTGTGAGCCTCCTTGATGCTGTGGGCAGGACCTGCTGCATCATCTGTAGGCCTGGTATTAAATGAAGATGTGTTGTGGTCCTGTGTCCAGAATGATCAAACACCTTCAGGACGGCAGAACAGCAGACCATGCATGGGCCTTTCTGAATGTGGGCTCCTGTAACTGCCCAGGTCATGTGCCCCTGAAGCCACCCTGGCTGTGGACTCCCCAGCTGCAGCATGGCGATGGCTGTGTGATGTTGCATCTAACTCCAGAGCCTCCCATGAGAGAGGGGCAGTGGCAGAGCAGGTGCCCTTCGTCCCTGTCAGCCTCTTCCACGGAACCAGAACTGATGGCCCTGCTGGATGAGGGGCCCAGACCTCCACCTGATAGCCAGAGAGGTTTCTGTTCCCTCCCGGGTCAGGAGTCCCTGAGATATGGTTTCTGGGTCCAGCAGAGCCAGAGCTTGCCACCCCCACCCTCCCAGCTATCTTTCTGGTCCAAGTGGCTCAGAGCTAAGGGAGGATCACAGGAGCGAGCACTCCCTCTCGGAGTGGTCTCTGGGTGGAGAGGTCTCTTGACCTCTGGGTGGTCAAGGCATTCATTTTTTGAATGAAGCAGATTTGAGCCTACCTTGGCTTCTCCCTGTGTGATCTCCCCGACCCTCACTCTCTTCACCTGTGAAATGGAGCTATGATGGTGCCTATCTGCTAAAATTGGTGGTTAGACCAAAGCTTAATGATGCAAACTATCCATATTGGCTGGAGGGCTGGGAAAGTTGACCTGGGCCAGGAGGGAAACCCCCAGGTCTTGAGGAAGGATGAAATAAGACCAGTATGTTGAATCGAACACCTCCACAGGCCGAAGAAGGGCGTCGGGCTGGGAGCATGCTTCCCCCACAGCCCCCGCCCCCCATCAGAACTCCTCCGTGACCCAGATAAGCCGATCTGTTGGAGCAGAGAGGCCCAGGGCCAGGGCAGGTCCCAGATCTGGGCTGGGCTCTGGAGAGGTGCAGAAGGTGGGGTCCAGGTGGGAGTTTCCCTTGATTCTGAGAGTGGCTTGGCCCATGGCCTCTCCCAAGGACCTGGCTGCCGACTTCTGTGCAAGTCTGGGAGAGTCGAAATAGTCGTCAGAAGGGGACTGGCTGAGACCAACCCCCAGGGAAACAGGGAAAATAGGAGCAGAGGGGCAAGGAAAGAGGGCAAGTAGGCCAAGGAACTCTTTCAAGGGGTGACCAGGGCTGCCCCATGCCAGAGGGATGGCAGTCTCAGGACAGGAAGGACGTCCTGCCTGAGGACCAGTTGTCAGGGAAGGAGTTGGGTCTCCAGTGGGAGTTAGGTTAGCTTGGGCTAGCTGTGCTTTTAAACCAGCTGCCAGCCGGTGTCGGGCTGAGTGGGCCGGAAACAACCCACTTTATAGGCTGTGAGATCTCGGTGCTGGATGCCTCATTAACCCTGCATTACAAGGCTCCCCGCCAGGGCCCCCAGGGAGAGGTGAGCAGTCCTGCCGGGGAGCTCAGATAGGACAAGCTCTGGGGTCCTCCGGAGACCTGATGCTGCCCTGGTAGTGAGGGAGGCCGAGGTGAGGAGGGGACTTCCTCAGCACAGCCACAGCCACAGCCACGGGGGCCAGCCTCCTGCAGCTGTTGCAACCCCAGCTGGACATGGAGGTTTGAAGGTCAGACTGCTGCAGGCACTTCTGAGTACACAGCTGTGGAGGAACCTCATCCTGCTGGTGAGGAAAGAGGAATAGAGAGCAGGGTGTCATGTCTCCCATCTGTGAGGCTTGAGTTCTTGCTTCTTGAAGTCACTCCTGGGCTGGTTAGAAGGGTTGTGGTATGGCAGAGGGCAGAGGGGTGGCTGACATGACCCAGAAATTTTCTGGTCTTTTCAACTTTCTGGATGGATGGAACGAAAGGAAGGGAGACGGAGGCGAGTCTTCTTCTATGGCCCGCCCTGCCCCCCCCTACTTCCGCCCAAGCCAAGGATCTGTCAGGACTCGAGAGGTTGAAATTCTGGTTTTCCAGAACACCCAGTGCTGGCTCTGGCCCTATGGGTTCCTGGAGGGCCGCACTCCCGGCCCAGCCAGGCTGAGCCTTCTATCCCCTGCCTCTGGGGCCTGGGAACCCCCTCCTTTCTCTTGGATGCACCTCCACCCAAGAATCCAGACACCTGGGGGCTCTGCACTGTGGCTGGCTCGAGGGTATGTAGGATTCGGTGGGTGGCTGGGGGTCCAAGGTCCTGGGGACGCTGATGCAGCCACCCAGGGACACAGAGCCTAGGGATAGGGCAGCTGCAGAGAGGCTCTGGGCAGTGCTGGGAGCCTACCTCCCAGCAATGAGAGGGCCATGTAGGCCTGAGCATCAAAGACCTGTGCCCAGCTGGGGCAAGGGGAGAGGTTGGAGCATGCTGGCGCAGGCCCGCCGGGGTCATCTGAGGGCAGGGGTAAGGGTGCAGCACCAGGGTATCCACCAACCTGAAAGTGCTGGGGCAGATGGGTCCCGTTGACCTATGTTATGAGAGAAGGAATCTGCTCCCTGGGAGTCCCCTTCTCTGGGGCCAGGCAGTGGTTTGAGTTCTGGACAATGGGGAGGGAGGGCAAAGAGTAGACAGCAGGGAGGTCTTGCTAAGAGTAAGATGAGGAAAGGCAGAGCAGGGCCAGTGGTGGCCAGGGGTCAGAAGGACAGGCCTGACGGCAGGACTCCGACCCAGAGGGGAACATGAGGCAGCAGGCTGGCGCCTAGGGATGATGGAAGTGAGACTCTGAGGGCGCTGTGCAAAGGAACCTGTCCCCTCCCCGGCAACCCCCACCCCCACGAGTACTTCTGCTGCCTGGGGCTCAGTGATTGGTCCCTGCGGGGGGGATGTGGTGAGGACTGCTCACCCAGGGAGTGCCTGGGTGCCTGTTTCCCCAGAGCCATCTGGTGACAGCCTCTGGCTGAGCATGGCCCTCCTCGCCCTGGGCCTGGACCCCTGGAGCCTCCTGCGCCTTTTCCTCTTCCAACTGTTTCTGGCAAGGCTGCCGCTGACTGCAGGGGGCAGTGGGCAGGGGCCCCTGCCCAGGGTCACGTTCCGGGCAGGTGAGTGTCTGATGGCCAGGCATGGGGCGCCAGCTAAGCTGGCAGGGCGAGGAAGGGAGGGATGGAGGGAGAGAGGAGAAAAGGGATACAGAGAGGTTGCGGTCTCAGATTGATGTCAGATTGGTGTCAGAGCCCCAGAGACTGAGGAAGGAGTGTGTGAAGAAACACTATGTGGTGGCTGGAGGAAGATTGAGGGGGGAGGAGGGGCCGGGTGCTTCTCTGAGGAGGTGATTTCTCCTTCCTTCCTTACCTGGTGCAGTCATCAGGATGGGCATTTCTAAGTGCTTTCACGCCCCCCATGGGCCACCAAAGCCAAGGTCATCCGTGGACCTGGCTGTACAGACCGTGCTGGACTGCGCAGCCTCCATGTCTATGGTCCCAGGGAAGAGGACTCAGGGTACCCACTGGCCCTCTGACATCCAGGGAGAAGGTTCAGGGGGCCTCAGGCTCTGCAGGAGTTGTAGGGGCAGGACTCCCTGAGCACTGCTGCATCTTTAACATCTGTCTGGGGCAACCCAGTGTTGGCCACTGTGCCATGAGCCTCAGCCCTGCCGTTGGGATGCTGGCAGTCCTGGGGGGGAAGCAGATGAGCAGCCGGCCATGCCACAGGCTGGTCAGCTCAGTAACCAAGGGGCTTCTCCCACTCTGGGGGAGGCTACCCTCTCCAGCACCTGCACCCACTTCTCCTTTTGGTCCCAAGATTGTCAGAGCTTCCGAAGGTAACACTTAGCCAGTTGGTCCTCTAACTAGGGCCGAGGTGCAAAGACACCCATGAGAGTCCTGAGGAACGTGAGCCCCTCACTGATGTGCCCAGGGACAGGAGCACATGCACAGCACCCTCTGCCACACCAAAGTGATGAGGAGGGCCTCAGTCAGCCTACCGTAACCAACTCATCTCCCCTGCCCTGGGGACGTCCAGGCATGCCCACAGGGCCTTTGAAAACATGTTTGCTCTCTGCTCAGCCTGCACAGTGATTCTAGTGGTATACGTTTCCTGCTGGAGGAAGGCAAGGGGGGTCGGTGAGTGTGGCCCTACAACCCACAGCTACCAAGACACACAGTCCTGTCTGTCTGTTTTCTGCTCACCCTGCTCCTCCCTGGGGGAGGACTAGCAGATCCTCCCCACCCCCCAGCCCCTCAGGCCTGGAAGAGGATCCAGGTGCCTCACTCTATTTCCTGTCGTTTTGTCTATCTCTTGGATGCAGGCCACCTTCTCCCAGTCCTGGGCTGTCGTTACCCTGTCTCTGGCTGCCTTTTCTCTCCACTGTTGGCTCAACACAAAGCTCCTGTGCTGCCAGTAGGGTGGCTGAAGGGGGAGGTGCCGATGGCAAGTGGGTTCAGCTGCCATGGCCTTGGGACCACACTGTGCCAATGCTTCCCCATCCCCACAAAATCAATTGCCTACCTACCCACTCCTCATCACCCACCCCTTCTCGTCACTTCCCGACAGGGGATGGACGCAGGGCTCTCAGCCTCTTCCAGCAGAAGGGCCTCCAGGATTTTGACACTCTGCTCTTGAGTGGTGATGGAGGCACTCTCTATGTGGGGGCTCGAGAGACCATTCTGGCCTTGGATATCCAGGACTCAGGGATGCCAAAGCTGAAGAACATGGTGAGGAGGCCAGGGACGAAGGGCATGGGCTGGGAGTATGGTGGGGGCTGGCAGCTGTCCGGTGCCTGGACTGCCCATGTGTGACTCACTGTCCAAGAGCAGTAATGAGTAATTCCTGTTACGGACAGATAAGAAATACCACAGTGGTCTCACTATTTGGTGGCATTGTGCATCTTGATTGAATAATATTAATTGCTAATGTGGCTGATATGGAAATCATTGACATACAACAGAAACACTGGCTCAAATTATATCAATAATATGATATCCATCCACTGGTGGAAATCACTGAAGTTTCTGTATTAAATTATAGTCACCCTGCTAATGGGAACAATATGAGGAAGAAAGGGGGAAGGAAGGAAAGGAGGGGGAGAGCTATGATTACTGAGCATCTCTCTGGTTGTGTCTCTCAATGTGTGGTCTGTGGGCCACCTGTGCATAAAGGATGCTCAATGAAAATGCAGAGTCTCTGAGGTGTGAGCCAGGAACTCACATTTTAAACAATTTCCGCAGGAAAGGTGTGGTTTGTCAACTGCTGCTCCGTGTAGCATGCATTGCATTAGGTACTTTACATATGTTCCTGGTTGTGTCCTCTAGAAGCCTGCACAATGGACTAGGACCCCTCAACCAGTAAGTGGCCATGCCTGGAATCACACTGAGGTCTGATTCCATAGGCCATGTTCTACCACAGAGCCATGTCCTAAAATGAATACCAGTATCATCAGAGTAACAGCCATGGTCACAAATTGATGTTATTACAGCTCATCAGCCTGTCACTGATCACTGTGCCTGCTGGTGGCTTCACACCAGACCCAAGGACAGGACAGCAGGTCAAAGCTAAAATGGAAGACCTCATATCCTCTCCCTCCCAACTCCCCACTGCAGATACCCTGGCCAGCCAGTGACCAAAAAAAGAATGAATGTGCATTTAAGAAGAAGAGCATCGAGGTACGTGGAGGTGGGGGTTTAGGGGCTCTGGGTGGAGAGCCCCAGAGTCCCCAGACCATCACGGATGACCTCAGGTTGGGGAGGCAGTAGAGGAAGATTCTCTCTATGATGATGGTCTGCGTCATCCAGGGATGCCTCAACAACTCTGCGACATCCAGGGATGCCTCAACAACTCTGGGCCCTCTTCCCACTGGGAAGTGAGGGGTAGCCTGTGCAGCCCAAGAGTGTGGGGCAAGTGGCCTGGACACCTGAATTCTTTGTCTCCCCAGACACAGTGCTTCAACTTTATCCGTGTCCTGGTCTCTGTCAATGCCACCCACCTGTATGCCTGTGGCACCTTCGCTTTCAGCCCCGCTTGTACCTTCATTGTGAGTTACTGGGAACTCAATTCTCAGACCCAAGCATCCCTTCTCACATCTACTCCTGAGCCATCCTCTGTAGCTCTGGAAAACCCTGCTCTTCCAGATGCAGGATACTTGTGAGCTTCCTGCCCGAATTCCCCTCCATGTCCCTCTCCCTCCCTCAGGCCCCTCATTTCCCAGACATGAGACTCTGGCATTCTGGCCCCCAGCCTCTCCCCCCCTTTAGGAACTCCAAGATTCCTACCTGTTGCCCATCTCTGAGGACAAGGTTGTGGAAGGGAAGGGCCAAAGTCCCTTTGACCCTGCCCATAAGCACACAGCTGTCTTAGCAGGTGAGTATCAGGTTCCCAACATCTGCTTGCCTGGGTCATTCTGTGAAATATGGAAGCTGACAGTTTCCTGGAAGGCAGGGGACTGAGGGAGGGGAGCCAGGAGCCTCTGAGCACCAGATCAGAGAGAGACTCAGGCACCCCAATCATCAGCTCCTGTTGAAGCTGCCACAAAGGAGGTACAGAGAGGTTCACATTGGCAAGAGGGTCTGGGAAGGGTCTTAGGCAGAGAAGAGGCCTGAGGTTCAGCCATTTGTTCTGTAGAGGTTACACAGAGATTACAGTCTGTGCCCTCCTGACACCAACCATGACAGACTCTCCACTCTGGCTTCCTGGACCAGGTGGCTTTTGGCTTTTGAGTGGGACCCTGAAAGATAGGTAGGTGGGCAGGGAAGATGTTCCAGGAAGAGGAGGGTAGGACCAAGGTATGGAAGCAGAAGACACAGCCACCTTTGGGGGAAGAAAGGGTGATTCTATTTGGCAGGTGGTTTAGCTGAGTGTGTGAGTGAGCACACAGAAGGACTTGCGGTGGCTATTCCCTGTAGCAATATTCTCTAACGAGGGTGCCCAGTGGCATCTGTGCCCTGGACTCTGGGTGCCGCAGGAGGGCGTGGAGCACAGACAGGCATGCTGGAGAGGGATGTGAGTGCTGGCCGAGTAGAGGCAGGTCTGAAGAGGGCAGAGGCACCCTCCAACGACGAGGCCTCTGCCCTCTGCCCTAGATGGAATGCTCTATTCTGGCACCATGAACAATTTCCTGGGCAGCGAGCCCATCTTGATCCGCACGCTGGGACCCCAGCCCGTCCTCAAGACCGACAATTTCCTCCGTTGGCTGCAGCGTAAGGACCCGAGTCCCCCAGCACAGGTCTGGCCCTGCCCTGAGCGCAGAGCGCGGGCCGAGAGCCGAGAGCCACGGTCACAGCATCCCGCGGTCCTCCGCACTGAGGCACAGAGTCGGGTTGGTGCCAGGCAGCACTGCTGGGGGAGGGGTGCAGTTCCCGCCCCCAGGGAGCGCCAGTAAACCGAGGGAGGAGCAGGCGGCCCCCGGTCCTGGCACGCTGCAGAACCAGCCTCGGGGTGTCCCAGCCCTAACCCTATGTGCCCCGCCCCGCAGCGGACGCCTCCTTCGTGGCAGCCATCCCTTCGACCCACTTCGTCTACTTCTTCTTCGAGGAGACAGCCAGCGAGTTCGAGTTCTTTGAGAAGCTCCACACGTCGCGGGTGGCCAGAGTCTGCAAGGTCTGCGGCCCAGGCGGGGGCGGGGCTGGCCGTGGGAGAAGCCAATGGGGAGTAGTCAGGGGCGGGGCCTACGCCCAGGGTCAAATGGGAGCGGGGCGGGCGCCGTGGGTGGAACTGGCGGGGGGCTTGCCTGACCCCGCTCCCCCGCGCCAGAACGACGTGGGCGGGGACAAGCTGCTGCAGAAGAAGTGGACCACTTTCCTGAAGGCCCAGCTGCTGTGCTCTCAGCCGGGGCAGCTGCCCTTCAACGTCATCCGCCACGCCGTCCTGCTGCCCGCCGCTGCCCCCGCCGAGCCCCGCGTCTACGCGACCTTCAGCTCTCAGTGGTGAGCCTCTAGGCAGGTCGGGGGTCCCTTGGGTCTAGGTGACGTGAGCACTTCACCTAGGAAGGCATGTGACCATCATTATGTCCCAGAAATCTGACTTGCGCCCTTCGTGTAGATGGGAAAATACAGCTCAGGTTTTTACTCGTTTATGTCCCACCCGGTTCCAAAACGGATAGGAGTCAGCTTACGGAAGGCAAACATTGAGACCAGACAAGGTAAAACTGATGAAGAAATGGGAGTGAAAGGAGAATAAGAAGGCAGGGATAGCGTCAGCACATCATAAACGTTTGTCATTTATGCAATGTTGGGATGCTCTGTTAGCTGCGAGCTTCCTAGTGGCCAGAGCAAAGAGGGAAACACCATCAGTGTCACTAAGATAAAAATAGTCATTGATGAGAGACTGAGAAAAGTTCATTGATTTGCTGTGATCTGGCCCCACTGTTTAGGTACCTGCCGATGACATGTCAGGTATCAGAGCTATCTGCTGTAAGCAGGGGCTGGTATCAGTGGCATCCAGAGTTGAGAACATGTGTGTGCCACAATCAGGTTAAAGAGAACAAGAGAAGCCTTCTGTCTCCACAGACTGGGGCTGAAGGAATAAGAAAAATCTCATAGTCAGGCTCTGGTTGGTTGTCTGAGGATCAGAAATCCATGGGACACAGGAGCAGGGCTTCATCTGGAGCCTGTTGGGAGCTGGTTACATTGCCCCTTCCATGGGTACAGCCCAGTCTGGGCAGGAAAGGCAGGAGCCACCCCAAGGCCTGAACCCCAGTTAATTGTCCTTAAGGATAATCACACTTCAAATCCTAAGATGAGCCAGAGTCAGGGTCTCTTCTAACCCTTATCATCACAGCTGGGGGGAAAGTAGGTAGCAATAGGCCAACCCAGCCCTCCATACTCCTGCCCTCCAGAGCTTTCTCACAGGGTGGGCCAGGGCTGGAGGAAGAGCTTCCTGGAATAGCAGAGGAGATGATCGTGTCCCCTCTGGCTGTCCACAGGCAGATTGGTGGGACCAGGAGCTCTGCTGTCTGTGCCTTCTCTCTCAAGGACATCAAGCATGTCTTTGAGGGGAAGTACAAGGAGTTGAATAAAGAGACTTCACGCTGGACTACTTATGGAGTCCCCGAGATCAGTCCCCGGCCAGGCAGTGTGAGTACCACCCCCAAAACTGAGCAATGCCCCACTGCCACTGATACACACACATCCCACACATCAAAGTACCTGTCATGGCACAATAAATGTCCAATAAATGTTAGTGCTTCCTGCCCTAACCAGTCCTGTCCGCTCAGGTGCACACCTGCTCCAGCGGTCCAGATGCCACAGGTGTCCAACCCATCCTACACACAGAGAAATCCCCCCCTTCACTAAGTGCACACCAAATACCTGGGTGTATCAGTGAGGAAACAAGGGAGCACGGGCTGTGCCAAGGACTGGCTGGGCATCTTCATCTGCATTTCTTATTTAACTTTTTTTTTTAAAGATTTTATTTATTTATTCACGAGAGACAGAGAGAGAGAGACACAGGCAGAGAGAGAAGCAGGCTCCATGCAGGTATCATGATGCGAGACTTGATCCGGAACTCCAGGATCACGCCCTGGGCTGAAGGCAGGCACTAAACCGCTGAGCCATCCAGGGATCCCCTAACTTTTGTGTTTTGATCAGAGTTGTATACGGCCACCATTTATAGAATCATATACCTCTACATGGTTCGTTACAAAAAACAGCCCTATTCCCTGTCCTACACTTTTCCCTCTCTAGAAGGATAACCACCTTCAACTCTTTTAGCCTTTTTGTATTTATCTTCAAATCTCTAAATCTCTGCCATACTTTTATTGCTACTTCTTGATGTTTGAATTCCCATTCTGGATGCTAAAGATTTACCTGTGCTCTCCTACTCCCCACCCAGTTACGTATGCGCTGGAGCTGGCCTAGAGCAACCAGCAAGAACTGTTTTTGGCTTCTCTTTCCAAATTCACGTGCACCAACATAACACTGGTAGCCTGAAACTAGCCGTGCTGGAAGTACGTGCCACGACATTCAGCAAACACTACAAATCAGGGCTCCCCCACCCCCACCCCAGAACTGCTCCACCAGCACAACATTGCACCCACCCCTCATCTCCCAACATAGTTATATAATAATTTTGGTTAGATCAATATTTATATTAGGACTCTTATGCACAGCTGAGCCAGGTAGCAGGCCATGATTACTTTTCCTTTTTTGCATAATTTAAAATTTTCCTTGGGGTAAATAATGATCTTTCTTTCTTCTTTTTTCTTTCTTTCTTTCTTTTCTCTGTCTCCTATCCTCCTCCTCCTCCTCCTCTTCCTCCTCCTTCTTTTTGGCTTGCTTTTTTAAATTTTTATTTATTTATTTATTTTTATTTTTAAATTTTTTTTTTTATTTATGATAGTCACACACACACAGAGAGAGAGAGAGAGAGAGGCAGAGACACAGGCAGAGGGATAAGCAGGCTCCATGCACCGGGAGCCCAACGTGGGATTCGATCCCAGGTCTCCAGGATCGCGCCCTGGGCCAAAGGCAGGCGCCAAACCACTGCGCCACCCAGGGATCCCCCTTGCTTTGTTTTCTAAGTCCTTATCATTAATTCAACCACAAACTCTTCCTCAATGATCTGCATCTCTTCTGAAGACAGATGGATTAGGCATTCTAACAGTCTCATCTTCCTGGAAGTGGTTCTTGCCTGCTGCAGTCTGCACTGGGGGCCGCTCTGTCCTGGGCACTGCTGCTGCCCTGGAATTTCCCTTCTTATCATTCTGGGCATTCCCTTTGTATCTCTGTGACATTCTCGTGTTTCTTACATCCCATAGCTTCCTCTTTTTTTTTTCTTTTACTATCTTTTATAAAATATTTTTATTTTTTAAAGATTTTATTTATTTGAGAGAGAGAGCAAGAGAAAGAGAACATGATTAGAAATGAGGGGCAAAGGGAGTGAGAGAAGCAGACTCTCGCCAGCAGGACCCAATACAGGGCTCCATCTCAGGACTGTGGGATCATGACCTGAGCCAAAGGCAGATGCTTAACCAACTGAGCCAGCCAGATGCCCCTAAGATTTTTATTTTATTTTATTAAGATTTTATTTATTTATTGAGAGAAGAGAGAGACAGAGAGAATGAGCTTGGTGAGGGGCAGAAGCAGAGGGAGAAACTGGCTCCCCGCTGAGGAGGGGAGCCCAACTCAGAGCTTGATCCCCAGGACCCTGGATCATGACCTGAGCCAAAAGTGACGCCCAACTAACTGAGCTACCCAGGTGCTCCAGGTTTTTATTTTTAAGTAATCTCTACACCCAACATGGGGCTCAAACTCACAACCCTGAGTTCAAGTCACATGCTCTTGCAACTGAGCCAGTCAGGCACCCCCCCCTTTTTTTACTATCTTATTTTTTTAAAAGATTTATTTATTTATTTGAGAGAAAGGAAGAGCACACAGAGGGAGAGGCAGAGGGAAAAGCAGACACCCCCCCCCCCCAGCACTGAGCAGGGAGCTGGATGTGTGGCTTGATCCCAGGATCCCGGGATCATGACTTGAGCTGAAGGCAGATATTTCACTGAGCCCCCCAGGTGCCCCTTTACTGTCTTAAGTGGAGCAGAGCCTCCATAGATTCCTAGAAAGGGATATATATGGCAGGTAAATATTTTGAGACTAAAAGTGTCTGAGAATGTCTTTATTCTACTTTTGCATTTGGTAGTTTGATGTGTGCATGTAATTCTAGATTAGAAATCATCTTCCTACAAAACTTTGAAGGCGGGATCCCTGGGTGGTGCAGCGGTTTGGCGCCTGCCTTTGGCCCAGGGCGCGATCCTGGAGACCCGGGATCGAATCCCACATTGGGCTCCCGGTGCATGGAGCCTGCTTCTCCCTCTGCCTGTGTCTCTGCCTCTCTCTCTCTCTCTCTCTCTCTCTCTCTCTGTGACTATCATAAATAAATAAAAATTAAAAAAAATAAGTCAAAAAAAAAAAAAAAACTTTGAAGGCTTGCCCTCTTGTCTTCCAGGGGGGTAGCAGTGCAGAGTTCTTCTGATTCTTCAGTCTCTGAAAGTCCCTGTTCTCACTGGAATCTTATAGGGCCTTCTCTTGGTCCCTAGTTGTTCTGAAATGTTGCGCTTTGATGGGAGTGTGTTCATTTACTGGACATGTAACCTGACCCTCAGCCTGTACGTTTAGTTCCTTCAGCTTGAAGTTCTCTTGAACAATTTTCTCCTATTATCTTTATATTTAACGAATATTTTCCGAGGCTGCCTGCTGCTGTTCTAAGCTCTGGGGAACACGGCAGTGAATGAAGCAGACAGAAGTCTCTTCCCTCATGGAGCAGACTCCCCTGCTAGAATGTTTCATCACATCTTACTGGACCTCCTGGACTGGTCTTCTTTATAAATCCTGTCCAGTTTTCCAGGTCTTCGGTTTTGCCCTACATTCTGGGAGAGTGTCTCAATTTTTTTTTAAAGATTTTATTATTTAATCATGAGAATACACAGAGAGAGAGAGAAAAAAAAAAGAGAGAATACACAGAGAGGAGACAGAGAGAGAGAGAGAGAGGCAGAGGCGCTAAACCGCTGAGCCACCCAGGCTGCCCAGAGTGTCTCATTTTTATCTTCGAATCCTTCTATCAGATTTTTTTTAAATTTTTATTTATTTATGATAGTCACAGAGAGAGAGAGAGAGAGAGAGAGGCAGAGACACAGGCAGAGGGAGAAGCAGGCTCCATGCACTGGGAGCCCGACGTGGGATTCGATCCCAGGTCTCCAGGATCGCACCCTGGGCCAAAGGCAGGCGCCAAACCGCTGTGCCACCCAGGGATCCCTTCTATCAGATTTTTAATTCCTGCTAAAATACTTAATTTCCTAGATTTTTTTTGAGCTTTGAATATCTTTTTTATAAAAACGTTCTACTAAGTTTGTTGTTGTTATTTAAACAGGTGAAGTTTCCGACCAGGCTCATGCTATTCAGTTTCCATTTCTATCAATCACAAATTTGTATAAAGCAGCAAAACTGGGGGCACCTGGGTGGCTCAGTCTATTAAGCATCTAACTCTTGGTTTTAGCTCAGGTCATGATATCAGGGTCGTGGGATCAAGCCCCCATGTTGAGCTCCATGCTCAGTGGGGAGTCTGCTTGGAATTCTTTCCCTTCCCCTGCTTTCTCTCTCACTCTCTAAAATAAATAAATCCTCTTTAAAGAGCAGCAAAACAGGGATGCCTGGGTGGCTCAGGGGTTGGGTATCTGCCTTCGGCTCAGGGCATGATCCTGGAGTCCCAGGATCGAGTCCCACATTGGGCTCCCTGGATGGAGCCTGCTTCTCCCTCTCCCTGTGTCTCTGCCTCTCTGTGTGTCTTTCATGAATAAATAAATAAAATCTTTAAAAAAAAAAAAGGCAGCAGAACTGAAGGGCGGATGATTGTTGTATAGGCTCTAAATTGCTTTCCATGTCTCATTTGGGATAATTTGTGTAAGAATCTTGATCTTTTTAAGTATTTGGAAACATCAAATGAAAGTGAAAGAAAAAAATGTTCTATTATAGATAGTGTCACACATATAAACAAAGTAGACAGAATAGCATGAGGGACCTCCATATACCCACCAACCAGCTTCAATGCATGGCCAAGCAAACTTGTTCCCCCTTGGTTTTTTGTTGTTTTTTTAAAAGATTTTATTTATTTATTCATAGACATAGGCATAGGCAGAGGGAGAAGCAGGCTCCTCGCAGGGAGCCTAATGCAGGACTTGATCCTAGGATCCCGGGATCATGCCCTGAGCCAAAAGCAGACACTCAACTACTGAGCCATGCAGGCGTCCCTATATCTATCCTTTTGTAAATAAAGTTACATTCCCAGGTTTCAGATGGATGTATCGGGGGGCACCAATCAACCCACTGTATCATCCATAAATATTTTTCGTATCTTCAAAAGATAAAGGCTTTTAAAAAAATAGCCATAGTACCACTTCATACCACAAAAATGATTAATTCTTTAATATGCATTTAGCATTCAAATTTCCAATAGTCTCCAAGATGTCATAAGAGTTGTTTAAAATACAGTTTACTTGAATCAAAATCTACATAAGATATATAAATTTGGATTGGCTCTCTACTTTTTTTTTTAAGTTTATGTATTTAAGCACCTTCTACATCCAACATGGGGCTTGAAGTCAGCCCTGAGATCAAGAGTGGTACGCTCTATTGACTGAGCCAGGCAGGTGCCCCTTGGATTAGTTGTTCTTTTAAGTCTCTTTTAATCTGTGTTTCTTTTCTTTTCTTTCTTTTTTTTTTTAAAGATTTTATTTATTTATTCATGAGAGACACAGAGAGAGAGGCAGAGACACAGGCAGAGGGAGAAGCAGGCTCCATGCAGGGAGCCTGACATGGGACTAGATCCCAGGACCCCAGGATCACGCCCTGGGCCGAAGGCAGGTGCTAAACCGCTGAGCCACCCAGGGATCCCCTGTGTTTCTTTTCTATCTTCTTATTTTCTCTTGCCATTTACTTGTCGAATTTTTCAGTCTAGATCTTGGTTACTATGCGTCTCTAGGGTGGGGTTGCAGTATTTCCTGTAAATTCACTGGAGGTTGGGCCTAAAGACTTGGTCAAGTCAGAGTTTGACTTGGGGGCAAGACCCCTTCACCATGATTGTGGGTCTTCCTTTGGGATACACATGATGTCTGGCTCCCTCTCTGAAGTCGGGAGTCCTCTTCTGTTCTGGTTTCATGAGCACACGCTCTTGTCTTCAGGAAGTGATCATATTTTGTTGTGAATGTCTCTTTTCTCTGAGTTAGTTAGCCTCTTATTTGTTTGTTCCATTTGTTTGTTTTGGTCTCTTTCGTGTTCATGGTTTAACTCATGTGTCTGGTAGCCCTGGGCTCTCTGCTCACATTTCAGAGCGAGGATGTGAGGTCATTTGGAAGCTGCACAGGGGGAGATGTGACTGGTCTGCTTGGGCCCCCCCATGTCCCCAGAGAAGATGGCCTGGCTGGGAGCTTTTCTCCAAGACCCTTGATATCAATAGTATTAGGTCTTACTGCTGACGCCCAGTCAGTTTTCTGGGGCCTTCTTCTAGCCTTGTGTTTGGAGGGACATAGCCTAGCTGCTGGTCCTGGGGGGAAGAGTCTCCACAAGTGCTTTGCTTCCCTGCCTTCACCCCCAGCTTTCGTGGTGTGCCTGCCACCCTCTGCTTTACCCTCCCCAGAGAAGGAGCCTCCAGTCCGGGGCCAGGGCCCCAACTACACACCTTCAAATACTCTTCTGACACAGCCGCTTCCTTGCCCCACTCCCAGTGGGGGCCGCTCATCCATGACCTTTAGGAATTCTGCCTTGTAAATCAGATAGTTTTGGTGACCCCAGGGCTGGCTTAAGAAAATTCTGCTAGGTCTTTTACCATTCGCTCATTTGCTTTCCAGCTTCTACATTGCGGCTGTCTTTGCTTCCCCTTCTCTTCTCCCCTTTCTGGGGTGAGGAGGAAGTGAGAGGAGGTGCATGTGTTCATTCTGGCATCAGAATGAAATATAGATGTTATTACGTCACTTTGCAAATAAGGAAATTGAAACTCAGGGAGGTGGAGCAGCCTGTCGGAGGACACAGCTGGCAGGTGACAGAGTGGGACTGGCCCTGAGATGGCACCCTTAGGGTACAGAGGATCAGGACACAGCATGCTGGGTTTGGCAGGGTCTTCACAGAACAGTCGGCCCACCCCCTGCCCTCCACCCCTCCATATTATGGGTGAAAAAAAGGAGGCCCAGAATAGAGAAGGGGCTGTGCCAGATTCATGTAGCAAGTTCATGTGACACCGTGGGGAGGAGTGCTCCCTGCCGTACCCCCTCCTTCTGTGATATCTTTCATTTAGTCACTGACTCAGCAAACCTTTCCTGGGTACCAGCTGTGTGCCAGGTCTTGTGCTGAGTGAGCCTGGGGCTACGGACGTGAGTGCATCTTCCCTCATCCTACTTCCTGCTGACTGCCAGGCACCCCTAGTGAGGGCACCAAGGAGAGGGAGAGATAACAGCTAACATTTACTTACTTCATGTCATGCCCCGTTCTAATTACTTTTCACAAATTCATGCGTTGCCTCCTCACAGCAGGCCGATGATACACTGCACTGTGTGCAGAGCCTGCAAATCAAAGCCAGGCCACTCCAGAGCTTTCACCACCACCCCTGTGCCCTCAACACCTGAGATAAGGAGATGAGGACCTCCTCTGGAGCACTGGGAAGGAGGTGGGAGGGAAATAGCAATGGTGAGCTGCTGGAAGGGCATGTGCTGACCTGAGGTGCCTCCTTCCCCCTCTAGTGCTCCGTAGGCCCCTCTTCTGATAAAGCCTTGACCTTCATGAAGGACCATTTCCTGATGGATGAGCAGGTGATGGGGACACCCTTGCTGGTGCAGTCGGGTGTGGAGTACACAAGGCTGGCAGTGGAAACAGCCCAGGGCGTCGATGGGCACAGCCACCTGGTCATGTACCTGGGCACCGGTGAGTAAAGTGCTGTAGGTGTCTCCCTGTGACCAAGCAGGGATTGCAAGCCAGGTTGACAAGGGAAGCCGTGGAGCTCCTTCACTCATGCTTTTACTCAACAAACGCTTTCTGAACATGTACGGTGGGCCTGGCACCCTGCTAGGCTCCAAGAATACGGTGGGGTAACCAAACAGCCCAGAATCCATCCTTTCTGAACTTTGAGTCTAGAGGCGGAGAGAACAAAGAGGGGTCTGGTGGCCTTAGGAGGAGCTGTTTGTCTCCTGGAAAAGCCATGTCAGAGCCAGAACGGAAAAGCCATGTCAGAGCCAGAACGGAAAAGCCATGTCAGAGCCAGAACCGTGAAGACTGGGCAGGTGGCAGGTAGTTTGGAGCAGCCAGGGCAGGGCCACGCCTTTAGGAAGCTGGCCTTGAAGGGGAAGTTGGGGGGGGGGGATGACTGGGGGAAGTTGTGGGGTCCCACCAGCATGCTTTTTTTTTTTTTAAAGATTTTATTTATTCATTCATGATAGACATAGAGAGAGAGAGAGAGGCAGAGACACAGGCAGAGGAAGAAGCAGGCTCCATGCAGGGAGCCCGATGTGGGACTCGATCCCGGGACTCCAGGATCACGCCCGGGGCCAAAGGCAGGCGCCAAACTGCTGAGCCACCCAGGGATCCCCTATGCTTTTGTTTTTTAAAGATGAGAAGGTCATGGGGATCCAGGAGGGAGGCAGATGGAGAAGAAATGAGCAGGCCAGGGGATAACTGGCAGGTGAAGTCGCAGAAGGAGCAGGAAGCCAGAGTCCAGAATGTAGGAAGGGGGCAGTCCCCAGGCTGGGATGGGATGAAGAAGTAGAAGGTAAGGCTGGGAAGCAAACACAGCTATTATGGACAGGCTTTTGTGTTCCGTGCAGGAGGAGGACACAGTACCTTGGGCTGGGAACAAGAGGTGGAAAAGGTGGGAGGCTTGAAGAGAGAGAGGTAGATTCAAAAGTCACTGTGGAGAGAAGGGGAGAGTCAGCAGGGCGATGTGGAAGGCTGCCAGGCATGTCTGTGGAGGGCCCGATGGGGGTGGATGAGCTGGAACTTGGGTGGAAGAAACCTGCAAGTGTGCTGATTCTCTCAGGACATGTGCCCGACCGCAACATTAGCCGCACACATACTGGGCTCTGGTGGGGAGCTCGACACACTGAAGCTTGGTGCTGGTGGAATCCGTGGAGATGCACAACAAACATGCCACATGAGCCCATGACCTAGGGTGTTAGGAGATCAGAGGTCGACTTTGAGTGAGGGCGGATCAGGAAGGCCAGCTGGGGAGGTGGCAGTGGGTACAGGGTGGTCAGCGTGGACCTTGCTGTTATGTCCTGGAGTAGGGACACATGCTGGAGGTGAGGATGGCTGGCGGCGGGCTTTCTACAGAAGCACTCGGCTGTCCACTGCCCGACTCCACAGAGGAAGTGGGTTGGGTTCCTGAAAAGCAAAGACAGAGGGACAGGGGGTTCCAAGCCATTTATAACAGAATTCACGTTATCTTCCCTGCATAGAGGGGAGCAGCCTAATAGACCTGTGTCTGTGCCCAGCTCACTCTGAAGGAATGTTCTGGTGGTTGGGAGGCCATCTGGGGTCAGAGGCAGCCTGATGGGGGTCTATGGATGGGGTGACAGCTCTGCTCTCTCCCTCCCCACAGCCACAGGGTCCCTCCATAAGGCTGTGGTGAGTGAGGATAACAGTGCCCATCTGGTGGAGGAAATCCAGCTGTTCCCTGAACCTGTCCGCAACTTGCTGCTGGCCCCCGCACAGGTGGCAAGGGGCCTCTGGCAAAGTGGGGGCTTGGGTGCTGGATCCCTCCTGGGTGCGGCGAGGCACCCTGTCACCATCCCTCTCTTTTCCAGGGTGCAGTGTTTGTGGGCTTCTCAGGGGGCATCTGGAGGATTCCCCGAGCCAACTGTAGCATCTATGAGAGCTGTGTGGACTGTGTCCTTGCCCGGGACCCCCACTGTGCCTGGGACCCTGAGTCTCGAACCTGCTGCCTCCTGCCTACCCCCATCCCGTGAGTGCCTGTCCTGGACAGGGTCGCAATGGGCCCACCAGGATCTTCTCACCCAGCATGCATGATCCTTCCTTCCTCCAGGGACTACCGGCACATTCCCTCCAAGAATCCCTATCCTGTGGCAGGTTCTTCCTGGGACAGAGTTGCCACAAACAGGCTTGAAGCCGCTCCAGCCCTCCTGGGTTCACCTTCCCTTCCTCTCTGGCTGTCTTGTCTCAGGCCCACCTCCCTCTCCTTCTTCCTTCTCTTCCCACTTTGGTCCCTGTCAAGGCTTGAGGTTTGCTTTCCCTGCCTTCTCAGGAAGTCCTGGAGACAGGACATGGAGCAAGGGAATCCAAACTGGGCATGTGCCACTGGCCCCATGGGCAGGAGCTTCCAGCCTCAGAGCCGCCCCCAAATGAGTGAGTGTGAAACCAGGGGGTAGTGGGAAGGCTCAGGTGGGCGTCTCTGCCTTCATCTCTTCCCTCAGCACCCAGACTTGGGGTGGATTTGAGTCCTGGTTTAGGGAGGTGGGATAGGAATCTAAGCTGGGATTCAGGATTGAGGCTGAAGTCTGTTTTTGGTGTCAGAGCTGGAGTCGAATGGACTGAGGTTAGTTTGGGGTCCAGACGAGATAGACGAGGGATCAGAGTTGAGTTTGGGAGCTGCCATGGAAGCTGGAGATGGGAGTCAGGTCCAAATGCTGGGAGTACTCCTCCAAGCTCCTGCTCCCCCTCCCTCATGCGCTTCCCCCTCCCTCCATCTCCAGTTAAAGAAGTTCTGGCCATCCCCAACTCCATCCTGGAGCTCCCCTGCCCCCATCTGTCAGCCCTGGCCTCCTATCGCTGGAGTCGTGGCTTGGCACAGGTCCCAGAAGCCTCGGCTGCCGCGGTCTACAATGGCTCCTTGGTGCTGCTGCTGCGTGGTGGGGTGGGGGGCCTGTACCAGTGCTGGGCCACAGAGAATGGCTTCTCGTACCCTGTAGTCTCCTACTGGGTGCACAGCCAGGACCAGCCCCTGGCCTTGGACCCTGAATTGGCGGGCATTCCCCGGGAGCGCATGGAAGCCCCACTGACCAGGGTTGGTGGTGGGGCTGCCCTGGCTGCTCCGCGGTCCTACTGGCCCCACTTCCTCACAGTTACAGTACTCCTGGCCCTGGTGCTTTTAGGAGGCCTCCTCCTCCTCCTCACCTCCCCGCTGGGGGTGCTCCGAGCCCGGGGCAAGGTACAGGGCTGTGAGACCTTGCCCCCGGGGGAGAAGGCCCCCCTGAGTCGAGAGCAGCACCTCCAACCTCCCAAGGAACTCAGGACCTCTGCCAGCAATGTGGACGCTGACAACAACCATCTAGGCCCTGATGTGGCTTAAACTCTGGGCACAGGCTGGGGGGGGCGGGCCCCCCGGGCACACTAGCTGGGGGGACCTGGGACAGCACAGCACAAAAGATCACCTTCCTGCCATGCCACAGTGGCCCTCAGTGGGGCTGACACAGTGGCCCTCAGAGGCTGACACAGTGGCCTGACCCCCTGGGGGCCTGCCCTGTACCACGCACACGGGCTCTCCAACTGCCTGTCCCAACCTGGGTCAAATAAGAGCAGATCCTTCAGCTCCGGCCATTCCAAGATCCTCCAGGAACAGACTGCTTCAGGAGACCCTACAACATGTGAGTGAGTGTTCACCAACATATAAACAAGCCTGCATGCCCGCTGCCCCCGCAGCAGCAGCTGCCATACCACCCACCAAGGCTCTGCTCTCCCAGGGCTCCTGCTTCCCTTATCAACCGTGCACTGCTGACTTCTGGGAAGTCCTTCTGGAAGTTTGACCACCTTCCTTCTTGTTTCGTTTGGGGGAGATTCTGGTCCCTGCTGGCCCGGCTAGAATAACAGGGGTAATCTGAGCCTTGTTCACTCCTTTTTCTGGCTGACCTTGATCTCTCTCCTCTCCCCTTTCCTTTATTTTGGGATTCAGAAAACTGCTTGTCACAGACAGTTTATTTTTTATTAAAAAGACAAAGCTCACTGCTGGTGCTGTTTCTGTCAGAGCAAAATGCTGCTGCTGCTGCAGAGAACTGTGGGGTGGAGGGGGCAGGCAGCCCTAGGGCTGCAGCAGGGAGGAATGCTTGGTTTGTGGGGTGGTTGCTCTCTCCAAATGTACACCACCTCTTCTGCCCCTGCCAGCTTCCTGCACAGAACCAACCCCGCAGCCTTTTCCTCTGCTCTGGCATCGCCAGAGAGTGCCTCCAACTCTGAGCTCAGGCCAGAGCCGTCCCTGTGGAGCAGCCTCAGCTTGGCCTGGGCAGCACCTCATCCATCATAACCCCCGCTGCTTCCAATCCCCTGCTGTCCCGCTGTCTCTCCCCTTCCCTTCTCCACAGCCGCAGGTGGTGTCAACTGTGGATGAACTGAATTTTTGGAGACACTGTACAGCCACCCCCATTCTGGCCACACCCTTCCCAAATCTGACAAATAGTGCTCTGTCCACACCCCTGGGCTACCTCCCTGGAGGATCCCCAAGACTCTTCCCACCTCTGCTGAGACTGCCAGCTTTGCCCCTCATTCTATCACTCCCTCACCTTCCAGCTCCCCTCTCCCACTCGCAGGTGTGCTGGCTGTTCTCTGCAGGATCCAAACAAAGGATGACGCTGCCCAACCATCCCCCCTACCCTGCCCACCAATGGTTCTTTTTCCTGTTCTCACCAAACACTAGACAGGGTCCTTTCTGGCCGCCTGCCCATGGCTCCCCCAGGGAGGACCTCACCCTCCTGAGTGCCCTGTGGTCTGGCTTTCTCCCCCACCTCTCTGCAAAAATGATTCTCTAAAACTACCCATAAGCCCCCACTGACCATACCCTCTGTACCACCTTCATGCTTTGCCACCACATTCCAATAATTCTCTTTCTCTATGGCTTCTTTTTATTTTTTATTTTTATTTTTTAATTAAAATTTTTAACTAAATTTTTAAAATTTATTTATTCATGAGAGACATAGAGGGAGAGAGGCAGAGACACAGGCAGAGGGAGAAGCAGACTCCATGCAGGGAGCCTGACACGGGACTCGATCCCAGGACTCCAGGATCACGTCCTGGGCCGAAGGCAGGCACCAAACTGCTGAGCCACCCAGGGATCCCCTCTATGGCTTATTTTTAAAATGTTTTTATTTTTCACTGTGTTACAAAGCAAATAACATAAAATTTACCCTCTTAACCATTTTTAAGCATGCAGTTCAGTAGCGTTAACTATATTCACATTGCTGTGTAATGCCTCTAGAGCTTTTCATTTTGCACATCTGAGTCTATGCCCATCGAACAACATCCCCCCATTTCCCCGTCCCTGCAGCCCCTGGCAACCAACATTCTGCTTGCTATGAATTTGGCTACTTTTGGTACTTCATGTAAGTGGAATCACACAGTATTTGGCCTTCTGCGACTGGCTTTTTTCACTCACCATAATATCTTCAAGGTTCATCCATGTAGCTCATGACAGGATTTCCTTCCTTTTGGGAGGATGAATAATATGCCACTGTAGGTGCATACTGCAGTTTATCTGCCTATTCATCTGTTGGTGGACACTCAAGTTGTGGCAGTGCTTGGCTACCGTGAATAGCGCTGCAATGAACACGGGTGTCCAAGTATCTCCTCAAGATCTTTCCATGTCCTCTTTAGTGCAGTTATTTGGCTTCTCTAGGGATTTCTTTCTCCTCTGCTGGCTCCTACTGCCCCTGTCACCCAATGCACTTTTATCCTCAGCCTGAATTTCACTGTTCTGAGCACCTGACAGACTCCTCTTGCAGCTCCCTGACCACCAGGCCAAGAGATGTGGGGCAGCAGGCAGGGCACTGGGCCAGGACGGAGCTGCTGGGGCCTTTGTCCACTGTTAGCAGACTCAGACCACCTTTCATGTCTGTGCCACGATCCCTTGCCTCTCAGAAGGAAGGAATGCACAGGAAGCTCATTCTGCTTTAAGGATCATGGATCCCTCGCTGCCAAATGGGCGACTCCAGAGGGAGCTCTCTCCTGTGCTCCAGCCGTGCAAGGACAAGCCTGCCAGACATCTTCATCCAGGGGACCTAGAGGCTCCTAAAAGCACATACTTTCTCCCCCATTCTCTGCCTCCCCTCTGGAATCTTCTCTTTCCTCATCTCCCCCTGGGGTACAGTCTGGATGCTACCGTGCCATCTTCCCAAACCGGCCCCTGTCCTGGCCGATCATCCTCCCCCAACACAGCACTCAGGAGGTACTTGAGCCAACCATAAGGCTGTGAGACAGAGAGTGGGGTGGCACATGGAGTACCCCTGCTGGGCTGCCAATGCTCCGGGGCACAGGGGGCATCTCAAGTCACCTCCACAGCCTGCAGTGTGAGGCACCTCAGGAGGCCTCCTGATGTGCTTACCATTTGTGAGATCACATCCTTGGTCCATCTCACCCTATGTGACCTCTCTACAGCCTTTGACTTTGGTGCAAGACCTGTCTTTGGTCTCTGGCTGCAGGGCTTTCTCACTACATGCCTGCCATTGCATCTCAGTTTCCTGTCAGCATCCTTCTCTTCTCTCCCTCTAAACACTCCCTCCCTTGGGCAGTGTCTCCATGCCCCACGCCTACTGCTTCCTCTCCCACCTCTTCACGAAGGATGCCCGTCCATCCATCTATCTGTCCATTCAGGAAACATGCACTCAGCACCTGCTATGGTCCAGAGCTTGACCTAGACAGCCAGAGACACCTGAGTGTGCCTACTTCCTGTCCTCACAAGGCTTACAGCACGGAACGGGGCAGGGCTGCCACAAGCTGGGGAAGACGTATTGTGGGGAACAGTTGCATGCCCTTTTAGCTACCGCTGACCTCCACTTGGACACGCCACAGACATCTTTAACACAACATGTCCCAAATTCAATTTATCAGCCCCTCCAAACCTGCCCCTCTTCCCTGTTACCCTATGCTAGCCAATCACACTGCAATGCAGAGGCTCGGGACTCAGCCTACACTTTCTCTTTCCCACTCCTCCATTCTGTTGACTGGGTCCCCACCCACTCTTCTCCTCCTCTTCACTTGCCCTGGAATTCCTCAGCTCCTCTGAAGTCCCACCAGGTCCTGACCACCTCACCGAGACAATCAGAGCCAACCGCTAACTAGTCTCTTCCGCTAACTAGTGGCACCTTCCTGCCACTCCCATCCAGACCCCATTCTCTGGCCAGGGTCAAGAGAAGCTTACTAAAAAAAATTCTGCCTAAAACTTGTAATGGCTAGGGGCGCCTGGGTGGCTCAGTTGGCTGAATATTTGACTCTTGATTTCAGCTCAGGTTGTGATCTTGGGGTCGTGAGACCGAGCCCCACATCTGACTTTGCGCTGAGCAGGGAGTCTGCTTGAGATTCTCACTTTCCCTCTGCCCCTCCCCCATGCACATGCACTCTTTCTCTCTCTCTCTTTCTCATAAATAAATGAAAAAAACTTAAGAAAGAAACTTCAATGGCTTCACTAACTAACAGCGAGGTTCCTTTGGGCATGCTGTTTCTTCCACCTAGGATATCTTCCACTCTGGATTCTTTCAAAACCTACCACACTGAGTTAGTGCCCTATGCACACTTCGCTATAATCCGTTTTATACGCTGCTGCTGCTGCTTCATTGGGTTTCTGTGTGCCTGGCATTTACTCTTAATGCTGAAATCTTTTCATTCATTCAAATATTTACTGAGCACCTACTATGTGACAGGCACACCAATGAACAAAGCAGAAACAATTCTAATGGTCATAGCATTCATACTGGTGTGGGAGATAGATAACATAAATAAATCAAATAGGTAGGGTGCATTGGATGGTGATGTGCTACGAAGGAAGAAAACAGTTGCAGAAAGAAGGTTGAGTGGAAGGAATGTCTACAGTTTTAAATAGGAGATTCAGAGTAGATCTCGCTGAGAGGGTGAAATTTGAGCAATAAAACAAAGGGGTAAATGAAATTATAGGCTATGTGGATGACTGTAGGAAAAGCTTCCAGACACAGCAGAAGCCCATACAAAGGCCCTGAGGCAGGAGTGAGAATAATAGATGAAGGGAGAAAGATACTGGGTGTGCTGGGGGCAGGGGTGGGGGATTGTAGGACCAATAGGCCTTTGCTGTTGTAGATGTTGGTTTTTACTCTGAATAAATGGGGAACCACTGGAGTACTTTGAACAGCGGAGGGGGCATGATCTGACTTAGAATTTAAGAGCATCAGCCCGACTGCTTCCTTCTGATTAGAACATAGCAGGAGCAAGGGTGGAAGTAAAGAAACCGGTGAGGTAGCTACTGGAATCGTCCAGTTGAGTGTGGTGACTGGGACCAGGGAGGGTATATGGAGGCAGTGGGGAGTGCCCAAGCTCTGGACATATTTTTAAGATGAAGCCAATGGTATGTGATGATGGGCTGTGTGTTATGCATGAGAAAAGGAGAGTTTGCAAGGTTGCCCCCAGATCCTTGGTCTGTGCACATGGAGGAATGGACTTACTGATGAGCTTACCTATGGAGAAGAACGTTTGTTCAAGTCCTTTTATCCATTTTTTTATCTTTTTAATGATTTTATTTATTTATTCATAGAGACAGAGAGAGAGAGAGAGAGAGAGAGAGAGAGAGAGAGAGAGAGAGAGGCAGATGCACAGGCAGAGGGAGAAGCAAGCTCCATAAGTTCCATGCAGGGAGCCCGTTGTGGGACTCCATCCAGGGTCCCCAGGATCAAACCCCAGGCTGCAGGCGGCGCTAAACCGCTGCGCCACCGGGGCTGTCCCCTTTTATCCATTTTTAAATAGGGTTGTTTGTCTTTTGTTGTTGAATTGTAGAAATATATATTTTGAAGTGGACTGACTCTCCACTCCAGGCCTTCCAGTCCCTCATTTGAAGAGCTATTCCTCTCTTTTTATTTTAATTTTTTTAAAAGATTTTATTTATTTATTTGAGGGAGAGAGAGAGAATGAGCTAGAGAGAGAGCACAAGCGGGGGGCGGGCAGTGGGGGGGCGAGGAGGCCGAGGGAGAGGGAGAAGCAGACTCCCTGCTGAGCCTGGAGCCAAAGGCAGGTGCTCCCTCTTCCTCTGCTTTTATTTTATTAAAGATTTTATTTATTTATTCATGAGACACACACACACACACACACAGAGAGAGAGAGAGAGAGAGAGAGAGAGACAGGCAGAGAGACAGGCAGAGGCAGAAGCCGGCTCCATGTAGGGAACTTGACGTGAGACTCAATTCCGGGTCTCCAGGATCACGGCCTGGGCTGAAGTCGGCGCTAAACCGCTGAGCCACCCGAGCTGCCCTCTTCCTCTGCTTTTATTTTATTTATTCATGAGAATACACACACACACACACACACACACACACACACACACACACACACACACACACACACACACAGAGAGAGGCAGAGACACAGGCAGAGGGAGAAGCAGGCTCCATGCAGGGAGCCTGACGTGGGATTGGATCCTGGGTCTCCAAGATCATGCCCTGGGCTGAAGGCGGCGCTAAACCGCTGAGCCAGGGGGCTGCCCTTCCTCTGCTTTTAAATCCAAATATAAGTAGACAGTTTCCAAGCCGTTAGAGATCCTAATGTCATGTCCTCCGCCCCCAGGATGGCTCCTACTGCAATTTTTTAAGTTCTCAAATCTGAAGATCGGTTGTCTAATTTCACATTGCACACTGGCCTCTGTTCTGGATCCACAGATGACAAAAAATTACGCAAAAATTACAGATTAGATTTGAGGTTAGGATTTCCAACAGACCCGAAACACAAGGTGACCCATTTACAACCAGATCCTCAAGACCGGCCAGATGACCGGACTTCTGCAAACAAGAAAGGACACGCACGCGCCGTGGAACTGAGGGCGGGACGAGGCCAGTGAAGGCGTGGCTTCTGCCCGAGTTCAAGATGGACGCGGGCCCCGCCCATCCCCGCCCAGGGGGCGACAAGGGAGAGGCTCAAGGCTCAGCACGCGATTGGTGGAGTTGCCCGCGGGGCGGGAGTGACAGTGTCCCGACTTCCGGTTCCGGGAGTACCCGGAGCCGGGTCGAGATGGAGGAAGATGCCCGGGTGTGCCGGAGGCTGCCCGGCATGGAGGCTAGAGTGGGAGCTGTGGCCTAGAGGCCCGGGCTTGGAGTTCGCCTCAGTCGCGGGGGAACCGCCCTGATCGGAGGAGGTAAGAAACCGCCGGTGCAGGGTGCCTGACGGTTGAGGTCTCCGAGGATCTGGACCTGTCACGGCGGCAGCGGGTGCCTGCGCTCCGTGGGAGCCCCCCTGGCCGCTGCGGGGATGAGGGGCGACTCCAGCCCGGCGTCTGTTCTGTCGGAGGAGCGCGAGGCTCGCCCACGGCGGAGGGAGCGGGACGGGAGGCGTGGCGACGGCCGCGTCCGAGCCTCCCGCCGAGGGCTGCCGTGCGGAGGGCCGGCGGGAGCTGCACGGACCGTGTCAAGTGGTGTCTGTGATGAGGGATCACATGGTGCCTGTGGACGACCACGGGAGAGCTGGGAGGGACCTTCGGGTGCCCGAGGGAAGAGACGGCCTCGAAGGAGGGGTCGCAGGCATTGCGGGGACCCGCCCTGAGGACCGGTGGACTAGCGCGTCGGTACATTTCGCGCTCGTGCGGGAGATAGCTCCCAGGATGCAGAGTCTTGATGCAGACGCAAGGGTGGGGGAGCGGAGGAACCGCTGGGGAACCACAGACCGTAGTTCCGGCTGAGGAGCGGGGACCCAAGCCCATGGGTGTGGGTCTGGAGCTGTAGAAGGGGATTTGCTTTGGTGGGGGTGGTTGACCCGAAAAGATCTGCCAGCGTCTAGTGATCATCACTGGGCCCAGTTCTGGTGACAAGTCAGGATGGAGTCATAATGGCCCTGGACTCTTAGAGTAGCTGTATCGTTATGATAATACTGATGATCCTTAATATTTAAAGCAGTGTTTTCCAAACTCTGACACATAGTAATCACCCAGAGAACTTGTTGAAAAATGTTGGCTCTTATTCAACATGGCTAGCCTGCAACCTGAAATTCTGTCTTTCTAAGAAGCTTCCGGGTGACGCCCAGGCTGGGATCTGTGCGCCACCCTGAGTAGCCAGGATTGAGAGCAGGCTTGTCTGATAGAGCTTTCTGCAATGATGGAGATGCTTTGCTGTTACAAAACACTTTCCCCCATATTGCCTCCCGTGAGTGCCTCCACACTATTACCCAGCCATGGCAGGCCTGACTAGCCCCGCTTCATAGATGAGGAAACAGTTTCAGTGAACACATGGTTCCAGTGGTACCAGTTAGGAATAGAAGTAGAGCTCAAACTTGGGTCTCTTGAATACTAGTTAGTGTCCTTTGCACTGCATGACCTGGCCTTCCAGGTGACACTGCCTTATTTCAAACCAGAATCTTATCCCCAGACCCAGTGAATAGTCTGGTGTGATGCTTCTGGTTCAGGAAGAATGCAAGTGGAAGCAGAGACCTCCAATGTGTCCCTTTCCTTTGCTGGGCTTGACAGTGGAGGCTCTGCCTCTGACATCAGATTTGATGACTTCGGGTATTCTGGGTCATCTGTTGGGTACCCATAGGAGGCACTTCAACCTTTGTGCCTGAGCAGTTGTTAAAACACAGAAGGAAATTCAGAATTGGAACTTGCTCACAAATAAGGATCTGGGAAAGAGCCTTAAAGTACTGGGGCTGGTCGTGTTGGGAGAAGGGAAGGCTGGAGGAAATGTGTGTACAGGCGACTGCCAAGAGGATTTTCCAAAGGGTAAAACAACAGTTTTTTGGGATCCCTGGGTGGCTCAGCGGTTTAGCGCCTGCCTTTGGCTCAGGGCGTGATCCTGGAGTCCTGGGATCGAGTCCCACATCGGGCTCCCTGCGTGGAGCCTGCTTCTCCCTCTCCCTGTGTCTCTGCCTCTTTCTGTGTGTCTTTCATGAATAAATAAATAAAATCTTTAAAAAAAAAAAACAAGTTTTTTATTTTTATTTTTTTAACATTTTTTTTTTTTTTTTAATTTATGAGAGAGACAGAGAGAGAAGCAGAGACAGAGGCAGAAGCAGGCTTCCCACAAGGAGCCAGATGTGAGGGACACCTGGGTGGCTCAGCAGTTGAGTGTCTGCCTTTGGCTCAGGTCATGATCCTGGGATTCAGGATCGAGTCCCACACTGGGCTCCCCTTAGGGAGCCTGCTTCTCTCTCTGCCTGTGTCTTTGCCTCTCTCTCTGTCTCTCATGGATAAATAAATAAAATCTTTTTAAAAAAATGGAAAAAAGGAGCTAGATGTGGGACTCCATCTAGGACCCCAGGACCGCGCCCTGAGCTGAAGGCAGACACTCAACCACTGAGCCACCCAGGCGTCTGTAGGAACTTGTTTTGATATTTCAGCAGGAAGTTTGGACGTTATGTAACAAAGAGCAGGTTGAGATCCCACTTTTTTTTTTTAAGATTTTATTTATTTATTCATGAGAGACGAGAGAGAGAGAGACAGGGACAGGCAGAGGGAGAAGCAGGCTCCATGCAGGAAGCCCGACGTGGGACTCGATCCCAGGTCTCTAGGATCAGGCCTGGGCTGAAGGTGGCACTAAACCACTTAGCCACCCGGTGGTTGCCACTGATCTGCCCGAGATCCCACTTTTTGTAGGGATGGAGTGATTGCAGGGCCCTCTCCTCTTTAACTGTCTAGGTTCCTCCATCTGAGGCCAGACCCTTAGTGGTTTCTCCTGTCACCATGGCAGTGGTAGGAGTTACCTGCTTTGGCCTCAGAGAGAGTTGTCCCCTGCCTTCCTTCTGGGAATTTAGAATCCCTGGGCACACATAAGAGATGGAAGAAAGCAGGGAAACGGGACACTGGGTCCTGCGTAGGATTTCATGCTAGGGAGATACTGGTGCTTTGTACTTCAGCTTGACAACTGAGTAGGTGCCCACAACACCAGGTCTTGGAACAGAATCTCCTGCTCTGCCATTCTGCCCTGCTTAGCAGTTTTCATGAGCCCTTGCTGTATTTGTCCTGGGACGACAGTGTGCCGGCCAGCCTCTCCACTTGTCACTCCACCAGCACCCTAGGAAGCAGAGGCAGCTCTTGGTTTCCCTGGAAAGAAACTGAGAGAAATAACGGGTCATCTGCAGGGCCAGGAGCTTATGCTTAACCCTTGGGTGACCAGCGGTCCTGAGAGCATTAATTCTGCCTCCGATAGGTGGGAGTGATTTGGCTTTAGACTGAACTGTGTGACTTGTGTTGGAACTCTACGAATCCCATGGGGTAGAAGGCATGGTCAGTAGAGGAGAAATCTTGGCTCATATCCTGTCTCTACCACTGACCAGTGGCATGACCTTGGACCTTGGACTTTTAACTTACTGATGCGGTGTCCTCATTTAGCAGAAGTGTCTAACTGCACAGGTTCAGTTGTAAGGATTACATGAGGTCATAGGTATTCAGAAAATCCTAGAGTCTCTCCCTCCTCATCGCTCAGTGGTGTTGAAAACATGACCTTGGGACCCTGTATAATGAACACTTTGGTCAGGGCAGATGATAACCACCTTCTCTTGAGGGCCTCAGAGGAGAGGTCTGCTGGGCTTGGTGGGAGTCTGAGGCGGGGGAGGAATGGTCACTTCCCTTTGCTCCTTTCCCGCAGATGCTCCATTCTGGCTGAGCTGGCTGCTCTAGGCCACTGTTTCTTCCTTTTGTCCTCATGCATTTCTGCTCTGTTCACGCGGCTCTGTCCTGCAGGGATGCCTCCCACTCGCCTCACCTGGAAGCTGAAGTTCCACTCAGCGCATAGGTGTGCAGCTTGCCCCACAGGCAGGTCCTTCAGTGATGGTGATGTAGTCCAGCTTAGTCCAGCTCTGGGGTTCCAGAAACCCCACTGTGCTTCTCCGCTGACTTCCACTGTAAAAGCAAGAAGCTCCTCAGGCTAGTTGGGAGCTTTTAGTGGGGAAGGTGGTAGAGGATGGACTCTGTTTAGAAACTTGACATGAGGTTTGCGAAGGCATGGGCTTCCAGAAGATTTCAACTTCTAGATTGTCCCTTTGATATGGTCACCTCCTTTCCCAGCCTGGGGGGATCTCTCTCAAAGCATGGGAAGCCCCTGACTTCTCACTGCCAACTTCACTTCCCCATTTCCCCTCTGGCTGAAAATGTCCAGTGTCCTGCCCAGGAACACATTATATTGTCACCAATATATCATGGCCTGCTGTTTATAGTTTCTCAGTTGCAACCTCCTGATTTTATACAATTACATTAGTATTAGTTTTGTTTGAAAACTTAAGCAGTGGATACACTTGACATGAGAGCCACATTACAGTGATGTGCCCTGGTTTCTTTCTCAGTATCTTATATCTGTTCCCTGGAGGGATACTGTTGTCCTCAAGAACAGATTGTGAGTTTCTGGAAGGCAGAATCTGTGTCTCCCCTGTCACTTGACTCTCATTATATAGGACAGAGATATGATTTCTGTGCTTAGGGGTGAGAGGGGCCAGACATGTCCTCTCCCCTGTGGTTCTCGAGACTCTTCAGGGAAACCACTTAGCTCTCTGCTGGTTCTTTTCTTTCTCTGGAATGAGTTATCTAATAACCAAAGAGGACTCTGACCTTTGGCTTGTTCCTAACTTTCTAACTCCTTTCACTGGAGGGAGGGGAGAAAGGAGGGTGCCACACTTTTTTCGAATGCAGCCTGGAGAAAAGATAAGTGTGGTGAGTGTGTAGAGGGGTGGCTCAGAGGGGCCAGCAGGGAAATCAGAACTAAAGTGAGGGATGGAAGCTGGGAAATGGTGACAAAAGAGGCACCCTGCAGAGGGCCAAAGGTCAAGGCAGTGTCTCCTCAGCACGCCCAGGAGCATCCACTAGATCTTCCACCGTGGAGAGCTTCCTGCCCTCCAGCAGTAGGAACCTGCTGAGTGATATCCCCTTAGCCCACCCGAGAGCCTTGGAGAGCCTTGCATCCTGCCGGGTGGTTTATCCCCAGCATCCTGCGCTCTGCCTGGGTTGAGCAGAGGAGGAGGACAGCAGACTGTAACACTGTGGCCCAGGCAGAGGCAGGGACTGGAAGAGGTAGTGGATCAGCCTGGGGCAGGGAGCTGAAGTGGGAGTGGAGCGGAGAAGTCACTGAAGTGAGGAACAGCTCCTGGAATTGGGGAAGGACCAATGAAGGGGAGAGGAGGGGGTCACATCCTGATCCTTGAAGGAAGACTCAGGTGAGAGTTGGCCAAGCCGGACTGGGTGGAGTCTAAGCTTCGGGGAGGTGAGAACTCTAGGAGATGAGGCCTGAGGAGGGGGTTCAGAGCCTACCCCGCAGGGCAGAGTGCAAAGTTCTGGCCTTGTTCTCTACATCCTCCCACCTGCTCACATCCTCAGGTCTTCAGGCGCCATGGAGGACAAGCGCAACATCCAGATCATCGAGTGGGAACACCTGGACAAGAAGAAGTTCTATGTGTTTGGTGTAGCAATGACAATGATGATTCGTGTCAGCGTCTACCCATTCACCCTCATCCGCACCCGGCTGCAGGTTCAGAAAGGCAAGAGCCTCTACCATGGGACTTTTGATGCCTTCATCAAGATCCTGCGAGCAGACGGTGTTACTGGCCTCTACCGGGGGTTCCTGGTCAACACCTTCACCCTCATCTCTGGCCAGTGCTATGTCACCACATATGAGCTCACCCGGAAATTTGTCGCTGACTACAGCCAGAGCAACACCGTCAAATCACTGGTGGCCGGTGGCTCAGCCTCCCTCGTGGCTCAGAGCATCACAGTGCCCATTGATGTGGTGTCCCAGCACCTGATGATGCAGCGCAAGGGTGAGAGAATGGGCCGCTTCCAAGTGCGAGGGAGCCCAGATGGACGAGGGGTAGTTGCCTTTGGCCAAACCAAGGACATCATCAGGCAGATCCTGCGGGCTGATGGGCTGCGAGGCTTCTACCGAGGCTACGTGGCTTCACTGCTTACCTACATCCCAAATAGTGCTGTTTGGTGGCCCTTCTATCATTTCTATGCAGGTAAGAGGAGGCCAGAAAAGTGAGGGTAGAGGGAGGGCCTGCTAATGGGGCTGAGATGCTGCGGCTCTGTGCATGCTGGAGTGGAAGATTTCATGAGAGAATGGGCTGTTCATCCAACAAACATTTGACCCCATTCACAGATGAATAAGACACGGTTCTTGCCTTCAGGGGGCTTATATTATTGTGGGGGGAATCAGATAAGTAAAGTGATGACTGTAGAACATAAAGTATGTTCTGGCTGCATTAGAATCAATGAGGGTTAGTGGAATGTTGGTAGAGAATTGGAAAGTGAGGAAGGACAAAATTCATGGGATATTTGGGATTTGAAGATGAAATTACAAATGAAATTTCATTTGAATGTTTGAGTTGGATATCTTTCCTCAGTGTTGTTAAATTCAAGATGTCATAGAATCTTGAACCCCTTCACTTGTAGAATGTATTTTTGTTTGTAAGACATTTTATTTAAGTATTTCCCAGAAATGGATTACTGGGTCCAAAGTAAATATGTTGCCAGATTTCCTTCTGTAAGGGTAGAGTGCACTGCCAGGAGCAAGACCTCGGTGAGCCTGCCACCCTCAGCATCCACAGCTTTGGGCAACCAGCAGATTCCCGTGAGGAAGCCTCCCCAGCCCCTGCTGCGGGCTTCTGAGCCTTGGTGGTGGGCGTTCTGTATGATCCATCTGGGACCTTTCTAACCAAATTTCATGACGACCTCCTAACCTATAATCATTCTGTCCCTCTGGTACTATGCATTTCTAATTCTATTTTCCTGATTGTACCTTCTTCTTTATTGCTAGCTCTGTTTCACACACCCGTTCTTCTAGACTATTTGGTGAAATTCACATACCTGGACTCCACCCCTGGCCCTTTGCATCACATCCTTTGGGAATTAAGATTATCAAAATCTAGGGGATCCCTGGGTGGCTCAGCGGTTTGGCACCTGCATTTGGCCCAGGGCGTAATCCTGGAGTCCTGGGATCGAGTCCTGCATCGGGCTTCCGGCATGGAGCCTGCTTCTCCCTCTGCCTCTCTGTGTCTCTGTGTCTCTGTGTCTCTGCCTCTCTCTCTCTCTCTCTGTGTGTGTCTATCATAAATAAACAAACAAACAAACAAATAAATAAATAAATCTTTAAAAAAAATCATAATGTTAAGAAAAACTCAAGGAAATGTGAGCATTTTCTCTGGCATTGTCTCCTCCCTTCTCTCCTTATGTGATTTCATTTATGATTGACTTGTACTTTTCTGACATGTCAGAAAATGTTTGTCCATCCCCAGACTAACTTTCCAGAGCTCTGGACAGGCACTCTGACTGTTGGGCCTCTCGACTTGGGTGTGCACATTTACATCTGAAACATTGCTCAGTGAACTATTTTTTAACCAAGCTGGTTAGGTCACTTCCTTCTCTCAGTGGCCATCCCTGAGACTATCACTCTTCCTTCCTTGTCCCCACATCTGGTCCTGGTGACCCCAGAATGTTTTCCCCTACTTTTGTCCTTTCCTCCTGCCTCTCCTGGAAATCATGTCTCAGTGACCACCCTGCTGGGTGCTGCACCAGCCCTTTAGCTGGACTCCCATCCCACCTGCCACACATCCCTAATGGAGTCACTCTTTCAACCCTAGTTGCAGTGTTCAGTGGCTCCCACTGCTCCTGAGGACAAGCCCATCTCTTCAGCCTGGCTTCCACCTCCCTTTATGCTGAAGCCTCCCCTAGTGTAGTGGGTGCTGCAGCCAGGTCAGATCATGAACAGATCTTCCACTGTACATCATGTCTCCCACCCCTGCTTGTTCCTCTCAGCCCCCGGGCACAGTTGCCTGGTGAAGCCATAATTTACCTGAGAGTTCCTTACTGCCTCCTCTCACATCTCTCCACTGGCCCTTAACCCAGAAGTGACCTTTCCTTCCCTTGAGCCCCCTGACATGGCTTGAAGCTATCTTCAGGCAGCTGTATCGCTTGTCTTGATATTATTTGTATGTGCCTTATCTCTTCACTCTGGGGAAAGATTCCTTTTTTTAAAAAATGCATTTTTTTCCAGTTTTATTGAGATAGAATTGATTGGAAAGTTTCTTGGACAGGGGAGGAAGCTAACATTTATTGAACATGCACTATGTGCCAGGCTGTCTGACTTGTGTGTTTCCTAAGTATTTGTTGAAAGAGTAGATTGGCTCTTGTCATTGCCCTTTGCAAAAATCTACCAGTGCTGCCTTCTGGGCATTTAGAGTAAAATCAAATGTGTCCATGGTCAGCACAGATGTCCTTGAGCTGCATGGCCTGCTGTACCAGCCCTGTGAGGGGCCTCTCCCCTGACCTTGCTCCATCCTCAAGGTCCTTCTCTCTGCCTGAATCACACCAAGCTCTTCACCCTCGCAGATAATGTTTTTCAGCCTGGAGTGCCCTGGCCCTGTTCTCTTGGTGGCAGGGTCCTCCTCATGCTTTAGGCCTCAGCCTATATGCTACCTTTGCACAGCAGACTTCTTCACCCAGTTGGCAAGAGAGCTCTTTCTCTTTTCTTTTTCAGTTTGTTTCCTTCATAGCACTTGTTATAATTTGTGATCATTTTATCCCTGACTCACAACTACTGGATTAGATTGAATCCCAGGAAGGCACTTCCCTGTTCATTTCTATGTCCTGTGCTCACCACAGTGTGTGGCATCCAGCAGCATTAGATAAATACACGTTTATATTACTGTCCAAACTCATGTAACCAGAAGGGACATAAACCAAGTCAGCCTGGGTTTATCTTCTGCTTTGCACATATAATAGGTGCCCAGAAAGCACTTGGGGCACTTTTCCCCACTCTCTTGCTTTTTTCTTTTCATCTTTTCCTGGAGTCCCAGGAATATGGCATGTGTGTATGACTAAGTTGGAACCTGGATCTTGCTGTGGCTTGCAGGCCTGGGGGCCAGTGCAGACACGCCCATGGAGGCTAGCAGCACCAGACCAGATGCCACCTTCCAGTAGCTTCAAGATGCTTGCTTCTTAGGAGAAACAAGATATGGGTGAGAAGGTGTCAACAGGTCACTTTGTCTTGGTTTGTGCTGACCTTCTGGAGGAAGGGAGGTGATTAGCAACCAGGGGAGAGGTGGTTCTGGCAGGGCCTTAAGGAGTCCTACCATGCTGCTAGATTAGAGGCCCTTACGTCTGCCCTGCCAACCCCCACCTTCCTACTGTCCCCTAAAGATTTTTAGGTGGCTACAAATTACCAAAAGTAGAGGCATGAGAAAAAGTTCTTCAAGGTTCTTTGACAGCGGGCAGCCCCGGTGGCGCAGCGGTTTAGCGCCGCCTGCAGTCCAGGGCATGATCCTGGAGATCCTGGATTAAGTCCCACGTCAGGCTCTCTGCATGGAGCCTGCTTCTCCCTCTGCCTGTGTCTCTGCCTCTCATTCTCTCTCTGTGTTTCTATGAATAAATAAATAAAATCTTTAAAAAAAAAAAGATTTACTTATTAAAAAAAAAAGGTTCTTTGACAGCTGAACTGTAGAGAGAAGACTGAGAGTCTTTGAGATAATAAATCTACTTTCCATCTAGCCTCATTCAGAGCAAAAGCCAAAGCTCTCACAGTGGCTCCAAGGCCTTAATGACTTACCTCTCAGACCTCGTCTACTGTTGTTTCCCTTGCTCATTCTGTTCCAGGTACACCAGCCCTGCTGCTCTTGGAGACTTAAGGCACACTCCTGCCTCAGGGCCTTTGCATAGGATGTTACCACTGCTTGGAAAGTTTTTTCCACAGATCCACAGGGCTTGCACTCTCCTTCAGGTCTTTGCTCAAACTTCAACCTTCTTGGAGAGGCCTTCCATGACTGCCTTGTTTAAAATGGCAACCCCTTCATTCCCCACACTCAGCGTTCCCGATCTCCCTTTTCTGCTTTATTTTTATCTACAGGGGGCATGCATCACCTTCTGACGTAGCTATATATTTTGGTTTTTATTTGTTAATTGTCTGTGTTTCCCCCATTAGAATGGAAAACTTCGTAAGGGTGGGACTTGAGCTCATTCGTTCACTGCTCCATCCTCAGGGAGGCTGGCATACTGTAGCCAGTTAATGAACCTTTGTTGAACAAATGAGCTCTTGTTTCTCACCTCAAGAGAGGGTAAAGTAAATAGTTCAGCTGCAGGTAAGTTTTCCAGTGACCTGGGAATGGACGGGGCTTGGTCTTCTGCCATCACCTCCATCAGTATTTTGAAAAATGAGTTTTTCTTTCTTGATATAGCCTGGAAAAAAAATCTCACTGTTGGATATGATTTTTTTCTCTCTCTCTTTTTTAAAGATTTTATGTATTTATTTATGAGACACACACACACACACAGAGGGGCGAGACACAGGCAGAGGGAGAAGCAGACTCCATGCAGGGAGCCTGATGTGGGACTCGATCCTGGGTCTCCAGGATCAGGCCCTGGGCTGAAGGCTGCACTAAATCACTGAGCCACCCAGGCTGCCCTGATTTTCTCTTCTAAGTGTCATTGTTTTTACTTTTAAAAACATTCACATGGGTATATACATGATGGAATATTGGCAATTAAAAAAACTGAAATCTTACCATTTGCAATGACATGGTTGAAGGTAGAGAGTATAATGTTAAGTGAAATCAGCCAGTCAGAGAAAGACAAATACCATATAATCTCACATGTATGTGGAATTTAAGAAACAGGACAAACAAAAAAAAAGACAAAAAACCAGACTCTTCACTCTAGAGAACACACTGGCGGTCATCAGAGGGAAGGTGGGTGGGGGATGGGGGAACAGGTGATGGGGATGAGGAGTACTCTTATCATAATGAGCACTGAGTATGATAGTGAACTGTTGAATCACTATATTGTACACTGGAAACTAATATAACACTGCATGTTAATAACTGGAATTTAAAAAAGAAGAGTAAAAGTATTCATGTGGCTCAAAACTCACCAGATAAGGAAGGGGATGCAGCGAAAAGGTTCCTCACCCTCTGTGGTCACCCTGCCCCTTAGCCAGTCAGCACTGCCAGCTTTTACTGTTTGCTGCCAGTTGTTCCGTGCACGTGTGAGAAAACGTACCTCATGTGGCTGTGTGTTGAGAGGAATAGATCACAGGCAATAAGGTTTTTACACCAGGAAGGAGTTATGTCCATCAGATGAAAGCACCAAGCAAAGAGGCTCTGAAACCCCTTCTCCAAAGGAATCTTCTATTCGAAGTGGGCAATGTACCCAGCATGGCTTCCAGAAGGGGCCTGAGATTTATCATTTTTTGTTGGTTAGGATGGAAGCGAAAAAAAAGAGAAGATGGGAGTTACAGGGCCTAAGGACACTGAGGATGAAGAGGGTTCATCCTTGTTGGGCATAGAGGCAGCATGAGGGCAGATTGAATGGCATCTCATATCTTGAGGTATTATTGTCTTTCCCTCAATTCCAGAGCAACTCTCGTACCTCTGTCCTAAAGAGTGCCCGCACATTGTCTTTCAAGCCGTGTCAGGGCCCCTGGCTGCGGCCACCGCTTCCATCCTCACCAATCCCATGGATGTCATCCGAACCCGCGTGCAGGTAAGGCCAGCGTCTACCCCTGTGAGACGGGTAACTGTAGGCTTCCCAGCAATCTCTGACTTCTCTGTGTCATAGCCTCCTAGTCCCAGCCAACCTGGTCCTGGTCGGCCCCTTCCTTGTAGTTAGGACTCAACATCTACAGAAACCAGCTGAGCACTGTGAAGCACCTAGTTTCCCTCACGGTGTCTGCTGCTTGCATGCCCTCTTCCTGTCCTCACCATGCCTCACTGGCTCCTCCCTGCCTTGCATCCTGTTAGCAGAGCCCATCAGACACCTTTTCCTTACCTTGTGGTATTAGAAATAGCCATCTCAGTGAATTCTGTAAGTCTGGTTTCTCTGCTGGGCTGTGAGTCCTCTATGGGCTGTTCTCGAGAAGGTCTCCTGGACTGTGCCGTGTGGACTCAGCAGAGGCACTGACAGCCCTTGGTGGTGCTGCTGTGCAGAGATTATCATCCCTGTCTTCACTCAGCTCAAAGATAGTTCCCCAGCACCAAGTCCAAGAACCTAACTATGGTTAGGCCCATAGAACCTAACTATGGATGTGTGACAATCAGGCAGCAGGTTCTGATGCTTAAAGCGTTAGGTGGAGAGAACCGGGGATTCGGAGGTGTGAGGTGGGTAACATGAGAGGACCGCTGACCAGGAGGTCGGGCCCCTAGTGAGGTTGGGAGGGGAGGGAAAGAAATCAACAGATTGGGGGTGAGGTCAGGGTGCTGGGATGGGGTGGGTGGTAAATCTAGGTGTATTTGTCCCTAGGAGAGAATGACCTGCCCCCCCCCACACACTTTTAAATGAACGAATGGGCATCTGGTTGGTTTGCAAATAGCAAAGCACACAGGTTCCCTCTGCATTCTCCTTGGAGGTTTATTTTGAGTGTTGTAGGAGGAGATCCCAGGGAGAGGACAGGTCTCTACTTCTGAGGTGCTCCCAGGCCGGAGAGGACAAAGTGCATATGAGGGCCAGAGGCCTTGCTGGAACGGCCTTGGACTCGGCTATGGATGAGTGGGAGGGCTAGGGGGGCATGGGTGGTCAGAGGAGAGTCTGGAGAGGAAGAGGGGAGGATGGAGGAGGATGCTAAAGGAGGTGGGGAGGAGTAGGGCCAGAGGGGTCCCCTGTGAGCATCATCCAGTCTAGGGAGGTGTGTCAAGGAGTCCATGTCCTGCAGTGGTTGAGGGTCTGTGTGGGGCCTGAGCGGGGCGAAGTGTGTTTTGGTGGCCGGGGACGGGTGGTCAGGGGAAGGGGGCAGTACTGCTGAAAAGGAACAGAGAAAATTCTTGCCTTAGCCAAACTTGCAGTGTGGTAGGGAAGACAGGTCCTGGGGTATGTGGGGGTGACAGATCAGGGGAGGACTCCAGCTGCGGGAACTGAGGGACTGAGATGGAATGGAAATAACAGACTGGCAAGGCCACGAGGACCAGTCTCCCCGGGGCCAGAGAGCAGCATCCAGTCCAAGGACCCTAGCTGAGTGGCTTACCTCGTGGTAATAATAGCTCGAGGTTACAGAACTCGACCGTCTGCCAGGCGCTGTTCTCAGCAGTGTTGACTGCTCAGAACAACCACGGGGGGCGGTATGCCCCGTTGCTGTTTCACCCCTGAGGGGACTGAGGTGCAGAGAAGTGGGTGCACCCCCTGAGGTTGCACTGTCAGGAAGCCAGGGAGCGGAACTCTGCCTGGGCAGGCAGCCCCGTGCTGCACTGGCCCTCACAAGCACAATCCAGCCCCCAGACTCCAAGGGAGCTTCTTCCCATGGTAGCCCAAGGCAGAGGGAGACTGTGCTGAGCGGCTCTGACTGCAGACCACAGCCTTCTGCTCTGTTGCGTTTCCAGGTGGAAGGCAAGAGCTCCATCACCCTGACCTTCCGACAGCTGATAGCCGAAGAGGGGCCTTGGGGCCTCATGAAGGGCCTCTCGGCCAGAATCATCTCTGCCACGCCCTCTACCATCGTCATCGTGGTTGGTTACGAGAGCCTCAAGAAACTCAGCCTCCGACCTGAGCTGGTGGACTCCAGACACTGGTAACCCATGGTGGGGAGTGAACCCCAATGTTTGCCACACTACTTACTCTAGGGCGGGTAGCACCCTCCCCACGTGCCCCCACCACATTTGCAGCCTGCCCTGGGCCAGGTGGTCTGTCTGGGACAGAGCAGAGACTCTGAACTGCTCTTGCTGAAGAGGCTCCACACCTGGACCCCCTGCTCCTGTTATTTTTCATTTTCTTGCCAAACTAGGCTCCCTCGCTCAGTCCCGGTCCTTGGTCCTGTCCTAAGGAAACCCACCATCCACACCAGTTCTGCCGCACCTGTCCCCTGTGAACCCTTCTTCTGGCTTCTCCCACCATCTGTGTCCCTGCAATCCTGACAAGAGCTGTACATAGAGCTTGCTTACTATCTCACTGGTCTTCCTCTTGGGCTTTCAGCCCAGGTTCCAAGCAGCTGCCATCAGCCCTTTCCTGCTTAGTATCATAGGCTGGGTGTTTTTACTTGGGACTGAGCTGCCCACCAGACTGTTCTGTTTTTCCCTGCCACCGGGGCATGGTGCCAGGTGCCAGGTACTTCTGCACAGGGAGCAGGAGCAGCACAGACCTCTGATTCTTCAGAGCACTTGTCCTCTCTTTGGAGAGTTATTAGGTCGGGGACAAATGTTGATACTTTATTTTGTGTATTTTTTTTGACATCTGTGAACTAGGTACTGTCAGTACTGCTGAGGCGCCAATCCTGCAGTTAGAGCCCACCCCTTGCTCAGACAGGTGGAAAAGGTGGCTTTCCCCTCAATTCCAGTTACCTATCTCTTCCACTTCCTTCAGAGCCAGCAGCCCCAGGACATGCAGGCCGCTGGCTGCCCCTGGTCCAGATGATGGGGTGGGGGCAGTTTGGAGTAGATGGAGCGGCCTGGGTGCTGTGGCACAACAGCTGCTCTGGAAAGCCCCAGTGCACCTGCCGAGAGCTGCCCAGTGAAGCCTGGGAGAGGTGGTGGGGCCACTCACATCTATACCCCAGTCACCGGAACTCACACAGTTCTCACAACAGGAATCTCTGAGTTGTGGAACCACTGGTGTTTCTCCTCATCCCTCTCAAGGGATGCTGGGGGAGTAAGGAGTGGGTCAGGAGGTCACCCGCACCAGGACTGCACTTACCAGCCCGACACTGCCCAGCAGATGTGGCCACCGCCCAGCCAGCCCTCCTCCACCACTGGGCCTGTGAGGCGGGGTGTGGTGCCCCTAATGACAAAAGGCCTGTCAGACCCTGCACTCCTACTGCACATGTGTGGCCTCTCATCATTCCCCTGGGAAAGGCCGAGGAGCCAACTTGAAAGGTGCTAGCTACCTGAGGCCTTGACACTTCCTACGGCTGCCCCATCTTCTGTCGCCCAGGCGGATCAGAGCCAAAGCCTGCTCCTCTACCTTCGCTGCTGCCACCACCACCTCTGCCTGTCTGGGTCCCAAACCTTCCAGGGTTATTTCCATTTACTTACCTTCGGTGTGTCCCCCAGTGTCTGTCCGCTGATGGTTGCCATCCCACCTCTCTGCACAGGTGACTCTGAACCTCCTGCCCCTCCCTCACCCACCTGCCCCCAGAGCCACCAGTAGCATGGAGGTCAGGGCCTCTGTCCCTGCTCTCTCTGCGCCTCAGCCCTCCCCAACTTCCAGGGGCTTGTGGGCTCAGAGTGCTCAGACCGCTTTCCCCCAACTCTCCGGGCAGGGTGCCGCCCCCCCGCCCCCCTCGCCCTCTTTACCTCCCTCCATTCTCCCCATCGCCCTCACCCCCTCCCCCTTCACACACACACACTCTCTCTCGCGCACCCGCACGGTCCGATAGGATGCCGTGCGTCTCCCGACAGGAAGCCCTGACCGCTGCTCTCCCATCCAGCACTTCAGGGGCTTTGGTCTGGCTGGGTTACGGGGCGCCCGGCGGGGAGGCGACCGAAGGCCACGCCCGCTGGACTTGGGGGCCAGCTGGTCCGTGGCCAGGAACTGAAAGGAACGTGGGACACTGGGTAGGCGTCTGGTAGACTGGACTCCTGTGAACATTAGCGGCGGACACTCACTGCTGCACTGTACGAAGTCTCTGACGTGTAATTAAAAGTTTTTATTGAGCCCCTGAGCTTTGGCTGGCGCGTACTCTGCCCCCGCCCAAGTGGGACGTCGGCGCTGGCGCGCAGCTGCGTCCTCCCGCCCCTCGCGCGGCTCCGGGTTGGACACCCGCCACTGCCAACCGGAGGCGCCCACTGCCGGGGCCGACCAATCGGGGGCCTCGGTGGGCGGGGCGGCCGAGCCCGTTAGATTTGGCGGTCCGACTTCAACATGGCCACAGCGCGCGGCGTCCACGCAGACGGCGGTTGTGAGGAAAAGGGGCCTGAGGGGTCGTGTCCGGAGTCTGGGCCCCACAGCGCCACCATTCCGAGAGTGAAGCTCCTCGACACTCTGGTGGATACTTTTCTCCAGAAGCTCGTCGCCGCCGGGAGGTAAGGTCGAGGAAGCAAGGCGGGGTAGAGGGCGGGGCGGCGGTGGCGGCGGCCTGGTCACGTGGCCTCGCGCCGGGGCGCGACTGACCAGCGTCCCCCCCTGCAGTCACGTGGTCTCACGTGCGCCGCCAGGGGGCGGGGCCGGGAGTTCGGGTTCCTTAACTCCTGCTTGGCCCGCTGAACGCTGACGGTGGTCAGTGAGGTGGTGATGACGGTGCCCCTGCCCTGGGAGGTACGGGCGCGGAGGGCAGGGCGCGTGCGGGTCGTAGGCTGTCCGTGCGGGGCCTCCCGGGGAACCCCGTCGTCCCCCGCGATCGGAGCTGTCGCGGTGCGCCCCCCCGCCTACCCCGCGGACCCGCCGGACCCCGAGGCCCAACTATCCCCACCCCCACTCCGGACCTCAGTCTTGCCCCCGTCGGCTGCTGGGGAGAAACTCCTGCTGTCTCCGCCCTCATCCCCCGCCGCGCATCAGTCCCGCACACACCCTGCGGCTGGTCCGCTCCGCACACGGTGGGCGCGGAGCTGGTTTCTGGGGGGGGTGGGGGGGTGGAGACGGGCAGGGAACAGTAGGCACCAGCTTGATGAGATAACGAACAGGTGATGGGTGAGGACAACGCTGGAAGGAGCCCGCTGAGCAAGTGACCCTGAGCGGACACTGAAGGATGAGGAAGGCTAGGCAAAGCACACGGCTTGTGCAAAGGCCCTGAGGTGCTCAGGCCTGCTGGGGGCGGGGGGAGGCGGGCACAGACATCCAGGTGGCAGCTTTTTCGTGCAGGACCTAGTTTCTAGAGTAATGAGTTTTATAATTTGTAATTGTTTTTGTGGACTCATCATAAGACACCATCAACGTGTATCTAGCCAGGAACCCCCCCCCTTGTTTTATGTATTTTTTTTTAACTCCTTCTACTCATTCTCGTCTTCATTTCTTCTCTCCATAGGCCCCACTTTCTATTGGCTCTATGTTCTCCATTTGCTCATGTGCAGTTATTTATTGACCATCCACACTGCCCCAGGCTATATTCTAGGAGCTGGAGATAAAGCAGTGATCAAGAGGCAAGAAAGGTCCCTGCTCTCATGCAGTAGGTCTGCTAGTGCCATAAAGAAAAATAAATCAGGAGAAAGAAATAGAGCAGTGGGATGGGGGGGGGGGTTCTGCTTAGCATGGGTGCAAGGAAGTGACGTTTCAGTATGTTTGCATCCTTGTAAACTATGTGTTTTAAGTTTATGTGAATAATTGAGCTACATAGGACTTTTCACTCAACACCATTTTTTTAAAGATCTAACCATGTACTCTAAGTTCATGTGGTTCAGGGCTTCGCAGGCTGCTTTTCATTCCATGACATGCATCCAGCTCCTGCCTGTCTCCTGTCACAGACCCCTGGTTGCCTCCAGGCCCCTCCTCCACAAGTCATGCCTAGTGAATGTCCCTGTCCCTGCCTTTGTCCCAGGGCTAGCATTTCTGGAGGTAGATAATGGAGAGTAGCCTCTGCATTCTGGAGCTTGCACCTGTCGGTACCTTGTCAGATTACTCTCCAGAAGAACTGTTCTATCCCCTGCATCCTCACCAGTCCCAGGCATCCACCATTCCAACCCCTGCTGCTCTGAAGGTGTAGAAATGGCTGTCCTGCCAGATTATAATCCACACACCTCTGCTTTGGGCATTTCCTCTTGTCAGTTGTGGGGCTTCCTTTTCTGCCACTGGCCTACTCTTTGCCTCCAGCTATTTTTTTTTCCAGACTTGCTTTCTTTCTCTCTTCCTTTCTTTTTATTTATTTATTCGTTTATGTATGTATGTATTTATTTATTAATTAGCTAGAGAGCACAAGCAGGCAGAGGGGCAGAGGCAGAGTGAGAAGCAGACTCTCTGCTGAGCAGGGAACCCCGACGTGGGGCTGGAGCCTGACGTGGGGCTAGATCCCAGGACCCTGGGATTATGACCTGAGCTGAAGGCAGACACTTTACCAACTGAGCCACCCAGGTGCCCCTCATTTTCCTTTTTAATTAGGGTTTTTATTTTGTTGATTTGCACGAATCCCTGATACACTCAAGAAATCAATCCCTTGTGAATTTTATCTTTTTAATTAAAGTTTACTTTTAAAAAATATTTTATTTATTTATTCATGAGAAACAGAGAGAGAGAGAGAGAGAGGCGCAGAGACACAGGCAGAGGGAGAAGCAGGCTCCATGCAGGGAGCCAGATGTGGGACTTGATCCCCGGTCTCCAGGATCAGGTCCTGGATTGAAGGTGGCGCTAAACCGCTGAGCCCCCCCCCCTCCCGCGGCTGCCCTTTTTTTTTTTTTAAAGATTTTATTTATTTATTCATGAGAGATACAGAGAGAGAGAGGCAGAGACACAGGCAGAGGGAGAAGCAGGCTCCATGCAAAAAGCCCAATGCAGGACTTGATCCTGGGACTCCAGGATCACTCCCTGAGCCGAACGCAGGCACCCAACCACTGAGCCACCCAGGCGTCCCATAATTAAAGTTTCTCATTGTAATTCCAGTACAGTTAACATAACATGTTACATTAATTTCAGGTGTATAGTGTAGGGATCTGCATTGCTCAGTATTCATCGCCTGTTTCCCTGTCCCCCACTGCCCTTCCCTCTGGTGACCTCTCTAGAGTGACCCTTGTCAGTGTTAGACTGAAAAAAGAAAGATCTTCCTGTATTAGGTGTTAATTTTGTCTATCATGTCTTTTGAGGAACAGAATCTTCAGTTAATAAACAGGTTTGTGGGACGCCTGGGTGGCTCAGCGGTTAGGCGCCTGCCTTTCGGCTCAGGGTGTGATTCTGGGATCCAGAATCAAGGCCTACATTGGGCTTCCTGTGTGGAGCCTGCTTCTCTTTATGTCTCTGCATCTCTCAGTCTGTCTGTCTCATGAGTAAATAAATAAATCTTAAAAAAAATAAAATGGAAAAAGGGGAAATAAAAAAAATTAAATTTAAATAAAAATTTAAAGCATTTTGAAAAGTTAGAACACAACAAAGGAGACAGAACTTTAGGAAGAAGGCACAATGACATCACTCTCCTTACTAACTGCAAGTCCTTCATGACAATATGGGTGAATCTCACAAAGGCAATTTTTATTTGTTAGTTTCTTTTTAAAGATTTTATTTATTTATTCATGAGAGACAGAGAGGCAGAGACACAAAGAGCCTGATGTGGAACTCGATCCCAGGTCTCCAGGATCACGCCCTGGGCTGAAGGCAGTGGTAAACTGCTGAGCCACCCGGGCTGCCTTCACAAAGGCAATGTTGAGGAAAACAAGCCAGACATAAAAAATTACAAACCACAGAATTCCATTTAATAAAGTGGGAAAAAAAACAACAGGCAATACTAATGTATAGTTAGTAGAAGTCAGGAAAGTGGTTATGCTTTCAGTGGAAGGTAAAGATGAGGAGGGGAGATATGAGCACTTCCTGGGGTTCTTGATCTGGGTGCTGGTTACATGGGTGTGCTCATTGTTGAAAATGGTTATCGAGCTGAACATTTATGATTTGTGAACTTTGAAGGAGGTTATTATACTTTAGTAAGAGTAGGGTAAGAATGCTAGAGAATTATCTTACAAAAAGCAATAGTTTCTCTAAGTCTTCAGTAACGAATTTTAAAAGAAAATAGAATATTCACAATAGTAACAAAAACTATGAAGTGTACTAGGTAGTAACCTAGTAAAGAACGGATGAGTTCTTTAAAGAACTTTAAAATTTTACGGAAAAACATAAAAGACAATCTGACTAAATAAATGTATCACATTTGTGGCTGGATGGTGTCATTGCAGAGATGCCTGCGGTCCCCAAACTGATCTACAAATTCAGTACAATCCCAACCAAATTGCAGCTGAATGTTTTTGAGGAACCAGAAGAATTCACTCTGAAGTTTACAAGGAAAAATCAAGGTCCCCAAATAGCTGTGCTAATCTTAAAGAGGAGAAAGGAGAGGGACTCTTGGGTTTCCAACAGAGGCATGGCATTAAGAACGTGTGTGAGGGATCCCTGGGTGGCGCAGCGGTTTGGCGCCTGTCTTTGGCCCGGGGCGCGATCCTGGAGACCCGGGATCAAATCCCACATCGGGCTCCCGGTGCATGGAGCCTGCTTCTCCCTCTGCCTGTGTCTCTGCCTCTCTCTCTGTGACTATCATAAGTAAATTAAAAAAAAAAAAAAAAAGAACGTGTGTGAATAGACAAGCAAAAGGATGGGCAAGCAGATCAGGGGGCAGAGAAGGGACGAGTCACAGGAGATGGAGGACCCTGCCATATGATAAAGGACACCCCAAAATGAAGTACGGATGGATGAACTTAGTTGACAATGATGGGCAAACTAGAAAAATAGGACCGGCAAGACAGCCTTTATAAACAAGGACCCAAGGGACACCTGTCCCAAGATTCAGGATCCAGTCCTTCATCCGGCTCCCTAGAGGGAGCCTGCTTCTCTATGCCTATGTCTCTGCCTCTCTCTCTGTGTCTCTCATGAATAAATAAAATCTTCAAAACAAAACAAGGACCCAAAAGTACAACCATAAGGTGAAAAAAAAGTAATTTCATGAAAATTAAGGATTTTTAAAAGATAAATTGATTAGGCATTGCCTCACAATTTATTCTGGCTAAGAGGTGTGGAGTTAGGCTGAGAAAAGGAGGAGCTGTAGTTTGTGAGGGGCCTGGGATAACTGCATTTCTCTTTGTGCTTTATCCTTTTGGGATAAAGTAAACAAAACCGGTGTCTTGTTTTTGTTTTGTTTTTAAGATTTAAAATTAAAAAATAAAATAAAAATAAAATTTTTTTCAAGTAATCTCTACACCCAACTGGGACTTGACAGGCCTCCCAAGAGGGAGGCTGACTTGGGACTTGATTCTAGGACCCTGGGATCATGATCTGAGCTGAAGGCAGACAATCACCTGAGCCACCCAGGCACCCCACCCCATTTATTTATTTATTTATTTATTTATTTATTTATTTATTTATTTATTTATTATTTAATTTATGATAGTCACACAGAGAGAGA